AATATCATAGAGCTAGAAGTTTTAAAAAATTATTTCAATTGTAATTATATTTCTCAAAGAAAAAGCATGTTTATGAATAAAGTAGTTTGTTAAAAAAAATCAAAAAACTATAAAAATAAGTAATAATATGGCATAAAAATTTTTAAAATATTTTTTCAAGTAAATCGCCGAACTTCTAATTACTTTTATAATATATAGCATTTATATTAATCAAATTAATAGCATAATATGATAATTGGTACAAAAATAAAATTATTATTTTTTAATGTTTTAAAACAAACATGGCAGCATTTCATTATTTTTTTAAATACTGTACGAAAATTTACTATTAATGACATCTAGAAACTGTAAAAGTGTTCATAGTATTTAATTCAACGAGCTAGAATATACTACAGAAAGTTGCTGTAGCGACACCATGTTTAAAGAAAATTGAATACACACCCGCCATTTTCTTTTTAGTCAAGGAGCGTGCCATTTGTGTTGTGTAAAAGCAACGAGCTAGAATATACTAGAATAATAGAATAATCTCGTTGTGTAAAGTGTGCAAAGGAAAAGAAGAGTTTTAATCCTTAACTCAGTTAAAATAACCCTACTTATGTAAATTAAATAAGAAGACATTTCTTTCTTTAAAAACTTCATTTAAACGTTTCTAAACAAGAAAATATTATGTAGCCATAAGTTAAACGAATTTCTAAACATTCTTAATTTTACTTTCTCGGTTATACACAAAACAAGAGAAAGCATTGGAATCATGTCAAGTTTGATCCTCAGCATTTGCAAATCTCCACGTTTTCAGACTTCCTGAACCCAAAAGTATTTGTGTTTTGGCGTCTGTAAGAAACGAAATTTGTCATGGTAATTTGTGTATAAGGATTATTAATGCTATTAAATTTTAGCGGTTAAAGGTTGAAGGGGCGGGAAGTTATGTGTCATATATCGAGAGAGGTCGGACTTTTATTCGTTATTAACATTTACAATTTTTTTTAAAAAATGAAACTCGTCACCGCCCTCGAAATTAAAGTTTTTGCCGTTCGATAATAATTAAAAATATATAAAATTATTTTTTAAATAAAATCTGACAAGAGCCGAAAAAGTTATGTAACTCGTTGCTGGATTTTTTTCACAAGCTGTTAGGTTTAAAATATAGTAATGTTTTAAGTTTCTTTTTAAGAAAGCTTGTTAATTCTTAAGATATTTAATTAATGAAATAAGTTCTAGACATTTGTGTAAATGACATAACGAACAAAAGGTTAGCTCGTAAGGTTAACTTAATTAAGACATTTTGCATTATTTTTTCAATAAATTAGTTTTGCTAAAATATACTACAACGCCCTCTACGAACTTTTAGTGTCAATCTCTGGTTTTATTTTACTATTACTTCCCGATGAGACCGCCGTGATTTTAATCGCCAAATTCGTTACTTAATGCTGATTGATGGCTTTCTCCATAAATCCACCAACTGAAAAAAGAATGAACTTGAACATACGACTGTTGGTAGGTTAAGAATTTTATAGAAGTCAATGAGATTGCAATGAGGCGAGCCGACACCATCCTCATCGTTAATACTTAACTCCGCCAGTTGAAGTTGATCGGCCTTATAAATGCTAAACTGTCATCCGGGACCCGGATACAAAATTGAAAAAAGCCATTGACAGAGAAAATTGATGGGAGGAGCTCACGGTACCAGAGAACAGGTAGAGGTGATCACCCGCAAACAGTCCGGAAATACTTGCTATACTGATGATTTTTATGTAGAACCAGGGTTTAATCGTAAATTAAAAAGTTCCATGGCGCTAATCGGCGGCCCGAGTTTGAATCGCCACCATCCGCAAAGTTTTGTATGGGCAAAGAGCAACTTTTTCGGCACAAAATCTGCAAAACGGCTTAAATGCTCCAACGTGACCCATACAATCGGAATCAGCCAAAAAACTGTGCAAGAAATAATTTTTCACTTTTTTCGCCGAGATATATACTCTACAGTCCAACCTAAATATTCAGAAAGTACAAGGGCTTCATCCTGCCGATAAAAAGCAGCAGGGAGCACCGGTACGCCCTGACATGACTACAACAGCACTGTGTATAACGCCAAATTTTAAACGAGTTCATTGTATTTTGATTGAATAAAACGGTCGAAATCGACGATTTAATTCTTCTTATCAAAATTAAAAATTTTATTTAACAACAGATGGCGGTCTGCTTCTTGCCAAATTGTTTAGAGATAATTTAAAATCTCAATAGCCCAATAAAGGAATTCGGCAGTTCGTTTTCAGTTTGAAAGTTATCCAGTCTAGAAGAATCTATTCTAATAAGTATATTTTTTATTACTAAACTAAATATATCTAATAATATAATCTTTTACGTTATTTTAAATTAACTTCTCCAAAAAAATTCATAAATTATTCAATTACTTTAATTTTATTTTATATTAATGCGATTTAAAATGAATATTTTTTATATTCTATTTTATTATCATTCAACAAACACACCCAGAAGGGAAGTAATACACAATCCAAATACATCCTAAACTGCTGAGATAATTTATTAAAACTAATGTTTTCTACATATTCAATAGACCATCATAGGGTTAAATGCAAAATTAGAACAACGGTGTTCCAAAATAGAATAAATAAATTTAAACATTAAAAAATAAAAAACGAAATTTCATAGAATTTTAAGGATGACAAAGATGGCATTAGAAAGGAAGAAAATGCTGGAGTGTACAAAATACTTTACGAGAATATACAGTTATTAATTAATTAAGAACTATATTAGTATTACAACAAGAAGTTTGGGAGACTCGAAGAACATAAGGTGCTTTCTAAGATGGCGCAGGCTGAAGGATCTGTAGTAAAATGGAATGAAGCGGATATTGTTAGGTTTTTGAACTCCCCAACGCTAGCGATAAGGCTGAAAAAATTGAAATTTATAGGAGCAAGCTGGAAGATACATGCATCAACGCAAGAGATGCTGAAGGTTTATGGAAATACATGATTAAAAACTCTTTCAGAAACTTCTAGTTATTTCTTATTTTTTTATTTTTTGTTTAGTTAAAACTATCAATTAATCTACTTTTTGATTATTCAAAAGAATTATATTAAAGATTCATTCATAAACGAGATTCGAAATTTATACAAGTTTTCAAAGTTATATTATTTTTACGATAACTTTTAATTATAAATTAATGTTTGAAGAAGAGAATACTTCCAAAATTGATTTATAATTGGCTTAACTATAAGCAGAAAAATTAATTTCGCTGTTAGTAATTGAGAAAATTAACTAAACATTTAGTTGAGCATTGAAGAATTGATATATTAACCAACAAAACAGAGAAATTACTTTGTTATGTTGATTAGTATGCCTGTCTTAGGGCCTTTTGATCCCAAGAGAGGCCCGACGGNAAAAATTCTTTTAAATTAATTATTTTTTAAAGATTTTTCTTATTTTTATTATAATTAAATATTCAACAGCATTAAAAAATTATCTTAATTAATTTTTTTAAAAAACACATTTTAAAATGAATAAATTCGATATTTAACCAATAAAATAATTTCAAATGTTAAATTTAATTAATTATTTATCGAATATAAAAGATTTTAAGAATCTCATTACACAATTTATATAATTAATTGCAAGCTTTTATGTAATTAGAATAATTTATCTTCATAAGAAAACGTTAAAATTCTTCTCGAATTTAATGAAAATGGCGAACAAATTCAGGAACAAAAGTACATTTCAAGTAATATTCCTTATAATTAGCCAATTATATATTCCCTGTAGGCAAAGGTTATTAATCAAGCATCCATTAATAAAATTTACATGGTTGATGATCATCAATATACATCACTGATGTAGAATCAACGTTAATAATATGAATCTTAATGCCAAATATACATCTTTCGATTCTTCAGGCTGGAAATTAACAAGATAAAAAAAATGAAGGAAGTTAGAAGAATTTGATTGTCCTTTTCAGAAAATAAGCAAAATGTTTAATTTTTTTTTATTATTCTTTATGATATTTAGTCAGGATCCTGTAGTTGGAGGGCATTACGTTTACGAGAAGCTGAAAGGACCTCGTAGTTATGAGGCCGGAAGTCAGGCCTTACACTCACATTTACGAGAAGTTGGAAGGGCTGACAAATTTCAGAGATCGGGCCTTATGTTCGCGAAAATCGGAGCTATTATTCACGAAAAGCTGATAGGAGGCCTCTTATTTAGGGGGTCTCAAGAACATTTGAAATGTTTCATTTCATTATTACTTCTTATTTATTAAGAAAAAACAGCTTTTCTTAAACTTTATGGATAAATTCCTCTCTCGTCCTCCCAGAGGCCCTATTGATGTATAATTTTTTGAAAAAAATAAATAATTTATTCGTTAATACAATTAATATTCATTTATCTTCTAGAAAATAATATATCTAGAATTATATACTAATGTTATCATTAATAATTTCGTGGTTTAAAGTATAAAATCATACAGATTATAATAAGTAGTTCTCACGATGCTGGTCTCACCATACTTAAAAGGTACATTTGTTTATCGTAATAGTGTACATTTTTACGTCAGTTTGACGTCATTTTCACACTTTCTCATTACGAAAAAATAGAAATTACGTCAAACTAATGTAAAAGTGACATAACAAATCCATCTCTAGAGGACTATTAACGACAATTTGCATTATTTTATGTTTTGCGCCTCTCGAATAATTAATTCTATCATTAGTATATGATTCTAAATATAATATTTCCGTGGAAAATAAATAAAAATTGATTTATTCACTTTAAAAAATTATATTTGCCATTAATGATGCTTTCACGCACTTTTCAAGATACAAAAATATAAAATGCTTTACGTTAAACAAGAAGAAGACAATTAAAAATTAATTTTCAACATCTTTTTCGATCGTTAAAAATCCAAAAACAAATAAATATTAAATTTTCATTTTTACAAATTTTTTTAATATTAATTGAAATTAAATTAAATTTTTAAGGGACAAAAATGCAGTTATTTTTTTATAAGTATGTATGGCGGTGATATTGAATGCAAGGAGTACTGAGAATTACCGCTTCTTTATTTAACCGATTTTCTTGTGGAATTTTTGAATTTCGGGCGTGTCCGTAATAGGCTTGAATCCAGGAGGATTATCATTTATCTCATTGGGAGAGGAAGTGAGAGTGAAAGAGAGTCGCATCTTGTTTGAGAGTGAGAGTGTGAGAGAGAGTTTCTGTGTCAGGTGTTTTGGTTGGTGAGTATTAATTATTATAAAAAATATAATATATAAATATANTAAAAAATATAATATATATATATACACATACAAGTAAACTGCATGTTTAAAGCTAAAAAAAAAACCTCATTAAAATGCAGAAAGTTATCATTTTATATCAATAATTTAAATGCTTATAGCGTTAAATATCTTTTTTAATAAGCTTATTCTTTATATTTTTATAATAAGTAAATATTTAGATTTAAGATAGTTATAACAAAATTTTTCAGTTATACAGGTGGTTTTGAAAGTCAGCTAACCAAGTTTTTTTTTTTTTTTCAAGCGGTTCGGCGATTCGGTAATTTGCATATTTAAAAAATGAAGTTTGTATGTAGTGGAGTGTTTTAATAAGATTCACTTAATCTTTACCGTGGTTAACTGAGTTTTGGGCCACCCCGTACGCTGTTCTTGGTTTAATTATATTATTTTTAAACGCGTAAATTTGTGCATATTCAAGGATGCGACGATTTTCTAATATTTAATAAAATTTATAAATTATTTTTTAAACTAAATTGGTAAATTTAATAAATGTTAATTAAAATTTTTTTATTATTAATTTTATTGTTTTAATAAGTTTAGTAATATAAATACCTTAATTTTTAATTTGTTTATGTTAAGTATACCATATTTTGAAGCTATTTTGTTTAAGTTTTAAATCGATATTTAATTTTAAATTATAGTTTTTTTCGTATATTTCTTTATCAACTTTAACTTTTAAAAATTGATTTAAATCCTGTTAAAACTTTTTTTGTATATATATAAAGGTACCAACCATGGTGGAAGGAGCAGCCAAGTACGTTAAATATGCCTTATACGTCGCCAATGTTGTCGTTTTGGTAAGTAAAACCAAGATAAAAACTCTAAAATTTTACAGATAAATTAATTAATTAAGCTTATCGTCGAAGGAATCTGTTGTAAAAATATTATATAAACGGAAAGTTTGATAACCGAAAATGTCAGATGTATTATATCATGAGTTAATTATGAATTCTTTATTTATTCAACTCGAAAGTACTGGAGGTGAGGCAGATGCAGATGGATAACGAAGATGGACTCCACCCAAAGTAGAATATAAGAGAAATGAATCGATTAGAAACAAGAATAAAATGTCAAAAGGCTAAATCTCGACTGGGAACTGGGTCATGAATGGCATCAAGAATAAATCAGTTTTCTTAAAAGAATAAGAATTTCTTGTACTCCGCTGCTTCAGACAACGACTCGTTCTATTGAAATAAAACAAAAATAAGGGAAACCATAATTAATTTTTACAAAATGTTTTTCAGATCGGAGGAATCGTGGTGTTTTCAGTTGGAGTATGGACCCTCGCAGACAGATCTTTCATGGAAAGGTTGTTGGGCAGCAACTTATATATAAGTTCTGCTGCCATTCTCATTGCTACTGGAATCATCGTCACAATCGTTTCTTTTTTGGGTTGTTTTGGAGGATATAAAGAAATCAAATGCATGCTTTTGGCCGTAAGTCGTTGCTTCTTGCATAAAATAACACTATAAAATTTCATTGTAATCTGTATTGAAATTACTTTTTTCTCTAGTTTTTTATCAGTTTGTTTCTGATATTCATTATAATGCTGGTTGGTGGAATTCTAGGATACGTATTTAGAAATGAAGTGAGTGTTTTTTGAATTTTTTTTTTTTTCAGATTTTAAATTTTAAAAATATTTTATTTAATTGGATATATATTTTTAAAATAAAATACAACGTATTGTAAGAAAACCGCGCTTTATATTATAATTTTTAGAAAATTTGTTGAGTTTATTACATAATTTTGAGAGTACAGAGGAATATTTACACAAGTCACAGCTTACACCTTCACTCTACCAAACTGCAGATTAAAGTATCACGTTTTTTAAATTTATTATTGTATAATGAAAAAGAAAGGACTCGTGAACATTGTCATTTATAAATAAATTATTAAACATACGGTATTTTCTCTACTGGTAAGAATTTCTTGTTTTAGAATCCTCCAGAGTTTGCATTAAAAGAACGAACGAGGATACCGGGGGTGTGCTTCTCAAAAAATTCTCCCGTAGAAAAATGTCTGAAGTCAACATTGTACATGGGGCCCCCAATTCAAATTTGCCTGGTCCGCATGAAGTTATAAAGCGCCACTGTACACACTACAGACGTATTGAAAATCTTATATTTCTTTCTCTTTATTCTTCTTCTGCTTCTCAACGCTTCATTCATTAAATGTCAACATTTTTAACGAAGTTAAGATTTCAGTTATTTTAAGCATCAATAATAATCTGGTTTTTCACTTTCTGTGAAGAATTATGAGTGCAAAATATGAAAATAATTTACTGTTTCCTTAATAGGACCAGAAGTAGTCGAAAATCGATGTCAATTAATATTTAATTTTAGTGCATGATACACAGTGGCAGATCCAAGGAGAGGACTACAGAGACTTAAGCTCTCCTTACTGATTAAAAGAAAATTGTATGTTCGAACTTCAAAGCGTTGTTTTTGAAGTTCGAACACGTGCAAGACGATTGTATTGTGGCATTTGCAATGCAATCGTCTTTCAAGATACAACAAAAGATACTGTACTTATTAATTATTCAAATATTTTTAAGTTTTGAGTTGTCGTCTCCTTTTGGATACTTGTAGATCAGCTACTTATGATACATAATATTCGACTGTTTCAAACAATGCAATTATGGATAACAAGAATTAATTTCCTTTCTAGAATACGAATTTAGATAATAACATATCCTAAATTCATTATGTCAGACAACGCGCGTTAAAGTGTCACTTTAGCCATGATAAATTGCGTGATCCGGTCAGATCCCGTAATTTATTATGGACTATAGGATGGAGGTGTCGTTCTCATTCTTCACTCGTACTGACCGATCCCATTGCGTAATGGACGTAATTGTAGTTTGCAACGTAACCTTAATTTAGTGCCATCACGCATTAACTAATCAATCAATCCAAAACCATCGATTTATCAAATTCAGATTATACGAGAAAATTAGATGGAAATATCTGTCGTAAGGCTGATCTCTGGAGAAGAATTATTAGAGGTTGCGGCTGATGTTTTCATCGTAAAAACGTGAACGTCAGATGTTCACGTTTTCGCGATGAAAACGTCGGCCGCGACCTCTCTATTAAATGTAGATATGATCCTACAGAAATACATGCATAGAAAGTGCTACAAAACTTTGTGCAAAGTACGGAGGTAAACAATTCTTGCAATAACCTCTTGCAATTCATCTTCAATGCTTGTTCATTATTACATCTTCCCCTATTGTAGTTCCGTTGTCTTCATTAGTGTTTCAGATTTAGCTTGTTATTCACGTTCAAGTTGCATTAAATTTACTGAAATTTTTGCATCAATATTAATAAATAAATATAAATAATTAACAATAACAATTTGGAAGCAATGGTGCAACAATATAATTTTAAATCTAATCATTCTTATTTATTATATAACAATCTCTTGGTTGATTGACGAATGAAGTTTGCATCGTAAGTAAATGAGCACCCCTATATGAAATATCCCTCCATATAGCGTTTATGATTTAAGCGCTATAATAGGGATATTTTCCTTATACCTTCTGTTAACAAATGAATATTTTTACGAAATGGTTGTGTTAATCCCATGCTAAATCTCCAACCTGGAGGATCAAAGAATCTCTGCTTTGTCTTGCTCTTCTCACCAACCTAAGTGAAGCGAAAGAGATACTCAGAGACATGAGTACCTGGAGGAATCTGATAAATGGATAACTGTATGTGAGAACTCTCTTGCCTGCTGCTCACCCATTTTGGGAAATGGGAGTGATATGTTTTTGACGAATATTGTAAGTTATTATTCCTTTGCCTATAATGCGTAAGGGATATTCCTTTGCTATGCGTTATTATTCCTTTGCTAATGCGTATAGGAATAATTTCATTTAGAAACTGAAAATTTAAATTTTATTCACGAATTTTACAAATTTTGATTTTTATTCACTCGTTTATATTGTTGTAAATCTATTACTTCGTTAGTGTTTCAAGTACTTCCTTAGATTAAGGATTGAAATTTCTTGAATGTATCTACACCAAAAATCATAGAAATGAAGATTCAAACTTACCAAAACTCTTAAATTTTTTCATCAACGAAACATTTTCGGCTAATAACTTAAATTGAGAATCTTTCTCCAAATATTATTTAGTCTATATAGCAGGACTCATAATATAACGTTAAGATTTAACATCAGGAGCTCTTTATAGCCTACACAATTATGTCGTTAATAATTTTTTAAAACTATATTTATAGATTAATATCACTAGTTACAGCATAACTACTATAATATATTAACACTATACGAGCAATTATTTATTGTGACATCGTTAAAATGCCGCGCTGTAATTTTTAGTCATATTTTAAATTTTTCAATTTAAAATATACTCTCGGTTTTAGTAAGGTCTTGCCCTTGTACACCATACTTTCCTGTTAACAATAGAGTCATGCATCTATGTAACTCCGTTTTGTAGAAAGTTTTCAAATTAAAATAGTTAATCGGCGGCTCCTGCATCTAAAGTTTCCATATCTGGTCTCGACTTTAATCTAACTTTATTCTCGTGATTAATAAAGGGCAGACAGACAGACAGACAGACACTAGTAGAACTTTATAAGCCTGCAATTTGAAAATCGCAGCCCAAAAAGAGCCACTTCAATGTAAGAATTGACGTAGAATCATTATTATTATTATTATTATTACAATAGTCTCTCTTTAATGAGTGTTTACTATTGACAAGTTTGTTATAATTAATGAAACGTCGTTGTTTACACTGCGATATTTCATTAAATAATTAATATCATATTCACTTTATAATTATGAATAATTTATAATCTTAACAACAATAAATTTATAACAATAATTACTTTTATATTTAACATTTCGGTTTTTTAGTTTAAAATTTAAATAGGACTATTTAACATAAATTTTTAATTTCTCTTTTCAAATTTAATGAATTTTCAAATCAGTTTTAATCCCTTTAATTTATTATGCGTTGTATTATTAAACACGCAAATTTAAAAAAATTTCTTTTCACTTCTCTTATACTTGACATTTAAAATTTTCTAAAATTGATTGATTTTCTCGTTGACATTTTAGATTAATAAATAATTAATGAGGAAATTATTTAAATTCGATCTTTAACTAAATAATTAATCATTAATAATTTGTATTTTTTAGGTAGACGATCGAATGCAACAAGAAATGTTGATGACAGTACCCATGTATATGAATGACAGCACAGTTACTTATGCTTGGGATGCAGTGCAAGTACATGTGAGTTTGTTAAAGTAAAATGATTAAAATTTATATTTTAAGTATATAATTAAAGCAGGAATAATAGCTGTTACTCCATTAAAATCACTTACTTTGAGAATTTAAAGTATAATATAAAAGAGTTATGATATTGCAAAAATATGTAATAAAGATGGATAAAATTTTTGAATTGAAATAACGTGATTTTCGGTTTAAACCGGAAGCTAGTGCATAGTTAATCTTGGCCTCCTGTCCCTAACCTTTCTGTATCAGGTCTCACCGTTCATATATATAAATTCGTTTTCGAGATTAAGGAAGTACAGTCTGATAACAGACAGACGGATGCCCGTAGGAGTTTATAGGTCTAAAATTCCTGAAAATTCCAGTGTGGTTTTCCACGTTTCAAGACATCAATTAGGTTGTGAAAGCGTATATATCCTCTGTGTATTTTCATTTGAGAATATTGTAGTCGGGTTAAAGGAATTTAAATTGTTTTGATTATAGACAATTCTTATTGAAGCAAGAGCAGCCTTATGAGTCGTAATATAAACTAATGTGTTCTTGAATATATTCTTGTGATACCGAATGCAATGGATAATTAGATTAGTGGTTCCTCGTCTACTCTCGCTTTCTGCTATTCAATCGAAATGAAAATAGTCCAGAATATGGAAAATTTTACATATCTTTACATACATTTTACAACCTTAGAAAAAAGATTAAATGAAGAAAAAAATGATTAAAAATTTGAAAAAGTTATGAAAATCAGAAAGGGGGAATATTTATATTAGACATTCAAAAATTAAATTGAGAATTTGTGAACCGTTTATATCAGAACTTAATAAAAGTATTAAAATGAAAAATAACCGTTTAACTTATTTTTCACTTGTAATTTGAAACAAAAGTATAGAAGTTATAGGAGGCTACTTGCAGAAGAAATAATTTCATAGTAGAATAATAGGAAATATTATGCAAGTTTATTTACTGAATAACTGAACAAATATTCGATATTTAATAGAAGAAACCTTCATAAATCTTATTGAAACTTGTGAATAACCGGTTACAGATTTGTAAAAGATGACCTAGAAAAATTAACATATGAACAATTATAAATTAAAGAACAGCTATTATTTATTGTGACATCGTCACAATGCTCTCAATTTTAGTAGTGTCTTCGCCCCTGTACATCATACTTTTCCTGTTAACAATAGAGACATCTATCTAACTCCTTTCAGGGAAAATTTTTGAATTGAAATAACGTGATTTCCGATCCAAACCGGAAGTTCGTATTCAGTTAATCGAGGCTTCCTGCTACTAAGTTTTCCATATCTGGTCTTGAAGTGTTAGAAATACGTATAGTATTCGTAAATATCTGGAGATCGAAATATTCAAATCACAATCCTTTATTAGAATTGGATTTGATTGAAGGTGTAAGACAATGTAATACATGGGCGATCTGCCAGGGGGTGTAACTCCCTTTCTGTAGAAAATTGGCCCTTATTTAGATGTTAGATACATGAAGAAAAGTTGGAAAATTCCACGCGGCCAGTCCATTGTCAGGGGTGAATCAACGGCTAATTTTATCACGCGGCCAATAGTGGGAATCCTTTATTAATCTTACAGCATCGTCACTCGACTATTACAGTTAACTACATTCTTATGAGTTCATTACGTTTATTGTAATATAGACATTACCCTGTACATATTTTTGGTTCTATCTTTAATCATTGCATCCGTATGAGCATTGTTTTAATAAGATGATCTCAAGATTTTTTATAAAGGCATTTTCAAAGGATCTTATTTGGTAAATACATCGAAAGAAAAGAATATATGCACTCGGTTATAGTGCATAGATCTCTTATTCGAAATTTTACTTCTAGGAAAGCAAGAAAGATAAAGCTATGATAAATATATATACAAGTTTTAGTATTTGTGATAAAAATTAATTATTTTTAATGGTGTATCCATTGCAAGAAGATTGAATTAAATTAATATAAATAGCAGTTAGCCGTTTGACACAATTTTTACTTCTAGGAGGACAAATCAATCAATTCATTTCGTATACAGAATCAATACCGAAATTACATTAAATAAATTATGCCTACTTCTTTTACTTGTAAAATAATGAAAAATTGGGTGTCGGGTATCATACCAGGTGCTAATTATTGATATGGCTCACCGATAAAACATCCTAATATCGAATCCATAATTGTAAACGTCACTCGATGTATAATTATGACATAAAATATATACGTCATTATTAATTTTTATGTCATAGTTATAAAGACAACAGCATTATAGATTAATTTCAATGCAAATTTATCTTTTAAACTATTAAATACATTTTAAAATAGTGATTAAAACGTGCTCGCACATAGAAAAAGAGTTTATCATGTTATGCAGTCAGTCGTAAGCACAGAATGAGATAAATGTGCCATTTAATTGATCAAATACATGCATGTCGATCACATGTTAATGTGTCTGATGTGACATGCACAAGTCTCTCTCTCCGAGATATGTGTGTTTTATATGGAGAGTTAAAACACACATTAAATTTTATAAAAAAAAGAAGTTCAATTTTCCTCCATTGTGAAGCATTTATTGCGAATATTTCTCCTTATTTATATTATTTAAATTAATTTACAGGACAGAATAATATTTATAAAATTCACAATTTATTCTCTTATACAGTTCAAATGTTGCGGAATTTCAATTGGTAAAGATACAAAAGGTTACGAAATTTGGTTAAATCGAAACAGTCATTTCAATGCAAATTATAGACTTCCAGGAAGTTGTTGCAAGAACAGAGAAATGCCGCTAATAGAAGAATGCCTAACTGATCCTCAAGATATCAACGCTAATTTAGATGTACGAATTTCTTTATTATATCTTGATTATTTATTAATGTATTATTACTATAAAATTCCCTTTTATATCATCAGGATTGTTACGAAAAAATGAAAGACTTTGTCAAACAACACGCAATGGTCATTGGAGGGATAGGAGTTGGAATAGCATGCATTTTGGTAAGTAAAACGATCATTTTTATACATGGTATAATAATGAATAGTTTAAAATACAGTTTTTTAGTCACTCCATTAATATCAAACTAGAAAAATGTCCAAAAATTACATTAAATCTTTAAATATTTACAAAATCCTTTTATGTAATTGGCATATCTCCAACGAAAACGAAATTCGGCAAAGAGTAGTTACGGCATTAAAAATAAATTTTTTTCTAAGTATAAAATTTAAAAACTGTATGAGAACGACTATTAAAATAAAGACGAAAATCCTTAAATAATTTATTAAATGATATTTTAATAATTAATGTCGGTAAAAATATTTTTAGAATTTAATATCCTCTAAAATTGTCGTAAAAATTATTTTTATTGCACAAGATATTTAAATATTTCACAAACTTAATTTTATAAAATTTTAATTAATTATTATTATTTTTTTTCCTTGGCAGATAATCGGTATGGCATTATCCATGGCACTATTTCTTTTAATTCGTTAGCTAAACAGCCGCCAGATAATTTTGTTAACCAAAAAAAAATCCCTATTCATAAAAAATTGTTAATATTTACGCCGGTGTTGTTCTAAGTTTTACATAGTTTTTGAACGTTAAAACGGGTTATATATATGTATATAATATATATAAACATGTTTACTAAATCTTGAAGTTGTATGTGAAGTTTCAGTTGTGTTCTATAGAAAAAAAAAAGTTTTTCCATTTAAAATATATACTTAATCCTTGAAAGTATATCCCTCGTGCTAGTGTCAAGTGCCTTTCAAATGGATTAAGGGAACAAGTTTCAAAAATAAAATTTAAAAAAATGCTAACAAGAGACTACAACCAATACGGCACTAACTTTAAAATTTTGTAGAATTTCTTTTGTTGTTCTCTTTCTTCCTCTGAAAAAATAAAAATATTTAAAAAATCAAATTTAAAGATCAAAAAATAATTTATTTAATTATTAATGAATTTTTTCATAATATATATATAATAATAAAATGCATCATTTTGTAAATAGGCAGATTTAAAAAAATCGCAGGAAATAAAAAAAAGCCGCCATTAATCCGAATAAATTGAAAGAAAAAGCATCCTCCTTCAGTTTTGATTCGATTTTGATCTGAGAAATATTTTTAAAAAATACAAAAAAAAAAATAAAAATAAAAATTATTGTGAATTTTTTCTGCCTACTTTTTAAAANCTGGATATCATGGCCTGTAGAAGAAAAAAACAAATTATTCTTGAAATTTTAGTGTTTGTGTGACACGTGATTGTATTCTATAATTGTATAATTCTTTATGATATTTAAAAACAAAATTAATGCTAGTTGTCGAATTAGTTTCTGTACAAAAATGATATTTCATCAAACATATCATATGAAAAAAAAATAAAAATAAATAAATCCAATTTCTCATTCAAAAGAAACAACCGTTGATTGTAGTCGTTATAATTAAATATTATATAATTGGATTCAACTAGTTCTCTACTTTGGAAGCATTTCCTTCTATTCAAAATGGACGTCGTTGGGAAAAGTACAGCTTATAATTGTTTTAATGGAAAGAAATTATGAATGGTTCTAATGTTCTAATAAAGATTAAATCTATTAAATTAATGAGTTGATTATTTTTAACAGTTAATCTTCATGTTTACACGTCTGGTAGGTGAGTTTAAATGGAATAGTTGGCATCTGGTTTCTTGCTATTTTTTATGAGTAATTTGAATTGGAGCGCCATGTTCCATTCTTCGCTCATGATGACCGATTTTTCAGGTGTGCTCTTAATGGGCTAAATCATAGGCATCTGCAGAGGGGCCAAACGAGGGAGTGAGTAAAAACTTGCACAAATAATAACCGTAAAAATGATTGAGTACTTAACATCGACCAGAGGACGCTTTGACGTAATACTGTATTCCATAATCTATTTGTGAGAAACCTAAAAAAAAATTAGAGAGGTTGAGGCAGACGTTTTAAACGTATAGGTCGGATGTTCGGCGCCGCTTTCCCGTAAGCCTAAAAGCTTGAGAATGGTGTTTGGATAGTCGGTGGAATCACTCTCGACATTCCGAACACCATCGTCAAACTTCTAGGCTTACGGGAAAGCGGCACCGAACGTCCGTCCTACACGTTTAAAACGTCTGCCTCAATCTCTCTAATATTTATTGATTTAATCGCTTGTTTCAAGCTTTGCTCCCCCGAAAAATTTTATGTGCATGCCCATGAGCTAAATTAGGGTTAGATGTAACTTATAACTCAGTGTTTTTATGCCTGACGAAAAGTCCAAACCCATTTCATTGTTCTCTGGTCTAGTATTTTTTAAATGTTTGGAAAGACCTTTTATATCTTTTTAAATTCTAGAACATTTCGTTATCCTACTAATAGTAGTCAGTGCCAGATATTAGTGAAGCAAGCTTTGCGAATGCGCCCCATTGTATTTTTTCCTTTGGTGCCCTATACGTTCCGCGTGTTTGCTGTCGTCACGGTTAACATATTCCTATTGTTGGCTCTTCTGAACAGTTCTTTAGAAGACATTTCACACCATCCCTCAGGTTTTTCAACAATGAGATTCGACGTCGTCCTGGTCCTCTTTTTCCAGAGATTTTCTCTTGTAGAACGAGTTGTAGGATTCGGTACTTGACACCATTTCTCATCACGTGACCGAAGTATTCCAACTTTCTTTGTTTGATGGTGTTGAGAAGTTCTTATTGTTTATCCATTCGTTGCAATATTTGTACGTTGTCGCATGTTTTACCCAGGATACTAGTAGAAGCCTTCCGTAAAACCACATTTCGAAGGCTTCGATCTTTTTTCAGATGTTTTGAATACGGTCCAAGATTCAACTCTGTACAATAGCACTGGGAACACACAACATCTGATTATTCTAGTTTTCTTATCAATGGTTAGGTCTCTAGAACAGCAATTTTCTCATTTTTGTGAAAACAGTTCTTGCCTTTTCTATTCGCGCTCTGATCTCTATATCATGATCCCAGTTATTATTTAAGGTATTTTGAGCCAGTCATCAACTTGCCTGAGTTAATATCCGACTTATAACCATATATTTGGTCTTTTTGATGTTGAGATCTAAACCGTATTTTTCGCTTGATGTTCTGACTCGATCTAGCAACATCTGAAGATCTTCAAAATTTGTAGAAAGCGGTGCCATGTCATCGGCACAACGAAAAGTTATTCAAATATTCTCCATTGATTTTGATGATGATGTCAAGATCAGCCAGCTCTTCTGAAAAAAATATTTTCAGAGTAAGTGTTGAAGAGAGTGGGAGATAATATGCAGCCTTGCCGTACACATCTGTGGATCTGAATTTGCTCTTTCAGTTCATCTTCCACCCTGAACTGTGTGGTTTTATTCCAGTAAAGATTGCTGATGATTCTGATGTCTTTGTCGTCAACGCAAATTCTCTACAGTGCCCGGATCATCTTTTAATGTTGGCATCTGTCGAAAGCCTTTGTATAATTTAAAAAGCATATATGTATGTCACATCTTATATCTCTGCATCTTTGTATGAGAATCTGCATTATAAATAGGGCCTCTCTAGTGCTCATGGAGTTTCAAAAGCAAAATTGTGTTGCCCAAATTGTGTTATTCAAGTCATTCATAACAGAATTTTTTGTAAATTCTGTTATGAATGACTTTGAAGAAGACCTTGAGTGCGACTCATGAGGCTGATCATTCTGTGTTCATCACATGACTTGGCATCAATAAATTTTGTAGCCGATGGAAATGGCACGAGTGCATACCACATTTAGCAAATAAGTATTGTCACATTCTTAGGAACCTAGGCCATGATATTTGGTTATGCAAAATTGACAATAGCTTGATTTGCGAAATTATTTTTTTTTCGTATTCAATCACAATTAATGTTTAAACTTGTTTCTGTAAACAGCTCGATGTAAGCTTTCGATTGATGTATAATAATAATAATAATAATAATAATAACCCCATTACCACCATAACTTATGCACTTCGCTCGTCAGCAGTTTATTCTGAAAATTATTCTTTTAAATTGTCTTTTAATAGAGCCTTTCGCGTCTTTACGACACGCTTAGTTATTAAACATACGAGCGAAATACTTCATTCTGTGCCTTAGCAAATAAACATAAGACATTGAGTGTTTCAATGCATTAAATGTTTTAGTTTTATTAAATAAATAAATAAATATTTTGGTCCAAAACTATAATCAATATTTACTTAACGATTATTAACAAACAGATATAATTTGTCTTTGATAATATACCATCTCGAGAGTGCTCGATTCTTCTCCTTTTCCCATCCAAAAGGTACACGGAAACTAGAGGATTTGATCCCGGGATCTCGACCACTTTTCAGTCCCAAAATTTTCGGGATTAAGTTTTCCTAATCCCGAGATTTTCGGGATTGACATCATTTTAAAAAAGTTGCAAAATAGACTGCATGAAGCGAAACGTTCAGTGCCAGTGCTTTTAACAGAATTGCTTGCCTATCATTTTAATATAAAATACAAGAAATTTTATTCCAAGCAAGCAGCAGAAATTAACCTAGCGGGCTTGCGATGCTTGCTTGGAATAAAACTTCTTGTATTTTCAACTAAAATGATAGGCAAGCAGTTCTCACTGGGTTACTTGGTAATATACTTCATTTTTGTATTTTTGAATTTTCGCGGGCGCCAATCGATTTTCTGGCGCAGTCGAGAGCACTACTCAGTGCGTTTTACCTGTCAATGTGTCAGCCATCTTGTTTTGCCAGTGTAGTTAATATAGACCCGACGCCTCTCGCTTAGGGGGGTCGACCTTAGGTGAAAAGGTTACGACCCTCGCCTTGCCCGCGATCTGTCAGGATGATGCGAGAAAGTCTTTTTACGTTTCGGGGTAGTGGTTTGCTGGACGCTGAGAGACTCACACAGAGACCGAATTTACAAAATTAACGCGTTTATTTTTAGAAAGACATGCTTACAATGATCGAAACAATCGGGATTGTAGCCTTTACTCCTACAATCCCGATCCGTGTCGACCGGACTGTTTTCTTCCATCCTCCCCGTGTCCTCGAAGCTTATAAGTATTTACTAACGATTCCTCCAACTTCCATCAAACCTAAACGCGTTTTCTCAGCAGCTGCATATATGTGCAACAAATTGAGAAGCAGACTTGGTGATGAGACACAGGATGCGTTGTTATTTCTCAGATCATATTTTCGCAATTCAAATTAGAATGTTCCTATTAGATTAGTTTTCTTTATATTTTAGAAAAATGTGACTGATTAATATTATTTTAAAATACTTTTTGCTAAGAAACTTACTTTACTACCTACTTACTAGGTTGTTATATGAAAGTAATCTATTTAGTCGATGTTAAGAGAGATTTTTGTTAATTTTCAACGTTTATTTGCATAGTTTGTTACATAAAGGTTTTTTCAATTTATGTGAGTTTAAAGAGATCTCAGTGATGCTTAAAAAAGAATAAATTTAACATGAAACGGTGATTTTAAATCTGGTTAGTCTGACTCTAAGTCTGATTAGTTAGAGTAATTAAATTAACTATGTGTATACCGTAAAATACGTTGATTTTTGTCTAAATTTTGATTTCTGTAAGATTTTCTTATTTTTTATTAACCCTCAATACCGAAATAATCCCGGGATCCCGGGATTGAATAAGTATAATCCCGAAATCCCGGGATTAGAAATAAGGACCGGGATCGAATTCCCTAACGGAAACACGTTTCACAACGTAACCGAATTTCGTTGTGTCTGCCATCTTGATTTATCGACGTCACAATCGTAATCGATTTCTATTCGTTATTGATTTTCAGTTTCGCATACGACAAAAAGACAATCGAATTTCGTAGTTCCATTTTCTCTACTACAGAAAGCGGTCTTTGTTTCCTGTATCTGTTTTATTGTTTCGTAAGTGTGAACTTGAGTTATGGAAACAATGCCTCACTGTTTCCATAAAGACACGTGTTTTATAAAAGTAAAAAATGGTCTAATTCGATCACAATAGCAGGAGACGGGGGAGAAGCTACTGGGGTTTGAGGGACGTCTCAAGCATAAAAGTATAAAGAAGGCGTACGAGAAATGGGAAATTGTGGGAGTCGACCTTCTTGACTTCGAACTATTGTTATTAACCACAGATACCAATTGGCAAAAATCAGCATCAACGCCCCAACCCTTCAGTGATAAATGTCTAAATACGATCCCGATATTAGAATACTTGACAGCTTTTTAGCTTGGAAATAATTGCTTTCAAATAAGATAAAGTTCGAAAAATTTTCGTTATTATCAACGTAACAGCTGTAGACTTATCTTTTATTTAATTCGATAAGGTATTCATTCTGTATTAAAGTAAATAGTCGATAAACTGCATGTGTGGTCCCATGGTGTAATGGTTAGCACTCTGGACTTTGAATCCAGCGATCCGAGTTCAAATCTCGGTGGGACTTACTTTTTTGTATCGTTTTTATTAATGTTTTTCCTCATTAATTATCTTGCATCCAGTTGCACGAGCTATAAAATGCTAAAATGTTCACGAATACGTAATTTTGCAAGATTTTTCACACTGTCCATGACGTGTAGTGGCACGTTATAACTTCGTGAAGCCCAGGCAAATTTGAATTAGGGACTTCGTTTACAGTGTTGATTTCAGACATTCTCCCGCAAGGGAATATTTTCTTAAAAAATATTGGTTTATAAGAAAATATAGCTGTTCTGTTTAGGGTCGTAACGAAAATCTGCAGGATTCCTGCGCAGAATTTTATGGAGGGCTTCCCTCTCACTTGTTGCAGATCTCAAGAGGATCATGATCTTCAGATGCGATAAAGTAAATTACCGAGATTCCAGCGAAGAGATTGGTTAGATAGTAACAACACCGTTTAACCAATTTTAGTAGTCGCACATTATCATCTAGTTTAAGTGTTTTAGTAATAAAATTGTTTTAATAATTTACTGTATTTCCAAAACGAAAGTAACCGAACGCGAAATTAAACGTGTTGTGCTTTTGTGGTGTATTGCTCTATAGGTAGTGACGTCATAGATTCCTTTGCTAAAATATATGGTCTCGGTTTTAGTCGTCTTGCCCCTGTACACCGTACATTTCCTGATAACAACGGAGTCGTACCGCTCATCTATATATTGTAACTCCGTTCTAGAGAAAATGTTTGAATTGAAATCACATGACTTCAGATCCAGACCGAAGTTCGTTTATTAATAAATCGGGCCTCCCTCCCCTAAGCTTTCCATATCTAGTCTTGACTTTCGTCTATCAAACACCATTCTCGAGATTAAGGAAGGACAGACAAGACAATGGGAATTTATGGATCTACAATTTTTTCAAATTGCAGCCCAATAAATTTATTGAATATGTCATTTTCGTTATAGATCCCGATATATAAAATACACGCAAAATCAAACTCATATTAACAATTTTAAATTGGAGAACTTGGAGTATCGAATCCTTACCTGTATCTCCCCCAAACGTCTAGACAAGAATAAAATTGTTGTTTGCTCTTACATATATTCAAGTTAAAAAAAACTGCATAAAAGAGGAAACTAAGAATAGTAATCTCATAATTAGTTATTGTATAAATTTTATTTAATAGATTAATGGGCAAAAATTATTCTCGTGCTGGTAAGAAACACGAGAAGAATTAGGCTACGGTATTTTCGCATGTACTACTATGTAGCCTATACATAAAGGCAAAGAACACGGTATCTTGAATAGATAAATATTAATAGAAAAATGTATAATTAGAGGATGACTTGATACTAAATCGTATAACTGCATGCCTATGATTATACCCCTGTAATCAAAAAGTATTGGGAATGGCTCCATAAGACGCAAGATTTGAATTTATTCATCAAAATTTATTTCACCCGCTTCAGAGTAATCCCCGCCCATTGCAATGCAACCATGCCAATATTTTTCTCAATCCTCGAAATACGCTTCAAAGTCGTTTTCGTGAAATCTCTTCGGGATTAAAACCGGATTTTATGGCACCAATAGACTCAAAACGGTGACCACCAAGCGGAAATTTTAATCGAAGAAACAGGAAAGTCATACGGTACCACATCGGGTGAATAAGTATCTTGCGGAACCGTGTTTGTTGAATTTTCAGCCAAAAATTTCACCAAGAGCATTGGCGCAAAATCCACTTTTCTCGCCACAAACCGAGTCATTTTCTACGAATTGATTCACGCAAACGACGTAAAACGCTCAAATATTCTTTGTTGACAGTTTGGCCAATGAAAAGGAATTCGTGACGCACGACATTACCACAATCGAAGAAAACAGTCAATACCACCTTTGAATTTTGATTGACTTTTTTTGTGGTATTTTCGGTCTCGCTTCACCTTTCGAGCATCATATATCCACGTTTCGTCACCCGTAATCATTCGCCTCGAGAGAGCATTTCCTCGGCTACTCTAACACACTATTTTTGGAAAAAATATAACGTTTTCAGGATGACTCGAGAAGCGACGCGCTGCAAACCTAAATGATCTTTTAATTTTAAAATTGCTTGACAAGATCCAAACGATACATTTTTACTCTTTCCAACCTGTGAGCACTAAGGGCCTTTTTTAGCAAGCCCATTAAGGGTTCGGCCAGGCCCACAATGACCGGGTGGTGAGGGACGGGGCCTGACATATTCATATGAACCACTCCCCCGAAAAATTCCTGGGAATTTTTCGACCCGTCCGTATTCGATTCCGGATCCCCTAAAGCTGTAGGCTGCCACCTTGACAGCTCGGCCATCCGGCCTTCCAAACGATACTGGAACATGTTCAAAGATGTCCCTAATTGTTAAACGACAATCAATAAGCATCAAACGCGTTGTTCATCAGTTGAAGTGGATGATCCAGCACCAGTGGATGGTAGCTTGGTTCGTCTTTGACGCGTTCTCTGCCTTCCTTGAACATCTATCACTCGAAAACTGTTATTCACAAACTATCGGCGCCAAATGTTTTTTACAAGATTTTCAACGTTTTTGTAGCAATAACTGCGTTGTCAAAATGACAATTAATGAACCTTCTTTGCTTGACTACACTGGACATTTTAAAAATCGCGGACAAAAAAATTATTTACACACAAATCTTAAGTTATTTTGTAACTATTTTATATTTTATAATTAATATTTCTTAAATAAAACATCATTGTATACATAAGAAAATACACTAAAACAATAAATATATTATAAAATCTTTATTGTTTCCTTTTCTCAATTTATTAACTGTTTTTTATTCCTTAAATTAAAAATATATGATCTTAAGTTATATAAATGCATGGAGTAAATATACAGTAATTATGTAAAAAAGTTATACATTAAAACAATTTGTGACTAGAAATTTAACAATTATACATCCATTGTATCAGACTTTCTCTGTGAACTTCGCAAGGAGCGTTTCATTCCAGAATCGAACTGACGAACCTATAAATTTTTATAAAAACTTCATTCGCTAAAGTTAAAATAGAAATATGTATAACTCAAAATAAATACTTAATTTAAAAACATGTTTAAATATTCATATGATAAGATCTTGTAAATCTTACTATCTTCACAAAATAAGATTTACACAACTTCAATCAATCTGTCATTTTGAGGACCAGTTTCAAAATCAATCCTCAGAAATTTTTGTGGATTGTTTTAGACCCAGACAAATTAGACCATCATCCTTCACCATATGGCCACAAAAAGAAACAGTCTCAGTATCCATGGGGCAGAAATAATAACTAGTTTTATATTCCCTTCCTATTAAACAACCCTTATTTAATATGTGGATATTGTTATTTATCATTAAGAAAAAGCTTCAATATTATAATTTTTTAATGTAATGATAAATTTTCTCGCTTTAGAATTTATATCTTTATCAAAATTCTAATCTTATATATAATTGATATTTGTGTATTAATTAAAACAATCATTTAAAACTATTGAAATTCTGAGTGTCGGCAGCTCAAGAAAATTTTTCTGTATATATAACAAAGGTATACAATATTGAGAGAATCAAACATTCAGAATGGCAATGGGCCAGACACATCACTAGAAGACAAGACAACAGATGGGCTACAAATATCTCATATCTTTAATAGTGATCTAACACTCGTAAAAAAAGGTTTTTCGAGGATTGTTATTATCTCATATCATTATCCACAGGGATAAAATGGTTAAGACAAAGACTTCAAGTACAATAGAGTGACAAAATAACAAAAGCGGTCAATGTAAATTGGAAAATCAAAGAATTGGACATGGAAAAATAGAAAAGATTGGAGAAGAACTTCATCCAGTAATGGATTGACAATAGTTAGTCATGATAATATATATGTTTACTAAATATAAATCAAAAAATGTTTCAAAACTAATATAATGAGGCAGTTTCTTCTTGAATCCAGCAAAGAAATATATCAACTAGTAGTTTTTTTTAATTTCAAATGAGAGTGGTTAAGAACTAAACATGTATTACATAAAGTTTCATTGTTAATTTAACTGTCAGTAGTATAAAGTGATACAGCAATAAGAGAATATAAGCCAGAAAATTTCCAAAACAAGATCTGATGACAAGTTACTCTCCAAAAATTCTGTTTTTCTTTTTTACTGCTTTATAATGTAATGCTAAAATAAGAAACCAACATACAATATTTTTATATTGTTACTGAATATAATTAATATCTTTATATACATAATAATTATTCAATTTTTTTTAATGCTTAACAGATTTACCATGATTTAATGGTAACTCATGTATTTAATTGAAGAAACATTTTATAGTTTTAAACATATAATTTTTAAAAGAATTTCTATTAACTTTTAAATCGTATAGCATTTAAAATATTTATAATTAGTGTTTCTGATTTCAAATTTCTAAACTATACTATATACAGAATATTTCATCTTAATATGAACTTTTTTAATGAATAAAAAAACTTTTACTGAAAAATTGAATATCATGCATTTCCAGATTTATAAATAAATTTGCAAATGACACAGTAGTGTTTACTAATGATTTATTACATTTATCACATGCTGTCATGCATATTTTATTATTATTATTATTATTTGTATATCTCTAAAATTTAATAAAATTACCTCTGATGAACAAAACGATGCAACCGAGAAAATAATAAGCAAGGCTAAACACAAATACGTAGCAAAACGAATTAAATCTCTAAATTTCTGCCATTCCTTTAATTCCTTAATATGCAAGAAACGATTACGATAGTCTGGAGGTAATTCAAACTGAGTCCTGATGGGAAATAATGATTCATAAAAATCTTGTAGAACTGCACGCACCTGAAAAATAAAATAAATTTCTTATATTATTTTGCAAGTTATATAATACACCAGAAAACAATCTTCAGAAATCCTTTTAATATCTATAATAAAATTAAATATGAAGTAATTTGAGCTAGAGATAATGTTAGGTGCCATCTCTTATAATTAATAATTATAATTAAATTAATAATTAATTTAGAAGGTTTTGAAAGAAAAGAATATGCCCAAAGTGGGACTTGAATCTGCAACTCCTGCTTGCTGTATGGACATAATAACTGGCAACCTTTGTCCAATCTTTGTTTCCAGAACTATTAATGTAGATGTAACCAAACTAGTTACAGCACCAATTGGGAGAGTCTTCAACACTCACAGCCTTTAACACTCACTATGGGGTTTATATTATAGATTTATATAATAGATGTTTATATTTGTATATTTACAATGTGAAGGAAAATGTCATAATGTTTTCCTGCATGCTTAGGAAATGAAAAATTTCTCAAACTCTTCCACAGAGATACTTTATATTGATGTTTTAATTTAGTCTCAAAACATTATCACTATTTTCATGTTTAAAATTTGAATAAAATAGTTTTACAAAGTAGAAAATTTTTGTAAAATTGTGAGAAGTCAAATTTTAAAAAATAAGTGATATTACTTAATCATCAAACACCTGATGCTGAGAAATGTTTAAACATTTTTCAGCATCAGGTGTTTGATGATTCATTAAATATTTTAAAGAGCTGAGTAGGATATTTAGTTATAAATAATGTTTCAGATAAAAACGGGGGAGGAAAATATAAATTTACTGATGTGATAAATGTATCAATAATAGTTTAAAAAAGTATTTCTCAGTAGACTTCTTGCAACTGAATTAGTTTATATACAACTTTTCTTCTTTCACACAATCAGTATCAGATCCTGGACGTATAACATGAGGGTGCTGAGTAACAGTATTGTAACTAGAACTGAAGTTAAAACATACAAACTTACATTCAATTCCTGTACCATTGTGGATATAGCAACAAGTGCATGTTAATAAAGAATAGGGCAGTTGAGAGCTTGTATAGGCCTGTGATATTATAGCTAGATCCTTTACCATTTCTTAATAAATGAAATAAGTAAAATATTTCTTTACAGTAGAGAGTCGTTTATCCGAATCAATTGGGGACTGGGGTTGTTCGGATAACTTATTTTTCGGATAACCAATTATGTACGAAAAAATATATTAATTTATCCTGTGTTGAAATTTTTCTCCATTGCATGTCGCTTTGCGTTGAATTTTCGTCGATGTTAAGCCTAACAAAGATTATTGTATCGTTAAAAATTATTTTTTTATTTTGTACAAACAAAATAAATATATTGAAAAATATAAAAACAATAAAAAATTATACTTCAGAAGTTAATTTAGTATCAAAAACGTAAAATATTTGAGTAGCCAAAGACATAGTCAAAGATTACAGCGCCACAGCACTGGCAAAAATTTAAATATGTTGACTGGAATTCTTTCGGATAACTGACCTTCGGATAAACGACACTCTACTGTATTAACGAAAAGCAGGTCTTAAAGAACGTATTTTCTATTAGTAAAAATAATAATAATTTTATAGAGGTAGGAACCACTACAGATCCCTAAATTCCTTTGGGCCTGGAGAAAAATCCCAGCCCCCTCTTGACAGCCTTGATGAAGAGTAAACTTTTAGATATCATATATACATCTGTTTAAGTATGTTTGACATATTCAATTTTTCTCTGTACTTATTTGACTTTTTCTTTATTTACAAAGGTAAAAGGGCCTTTATGATTATGATAATGCTAAATAACTACTACTATTTTACATAACAAAATATATATAAATACTGATAAAATGAAAACAAACACTACAGAGACTAATATAAAAATATATATATTTTTAATTTAATTAACATTAAATTATAATAATAAAAAATAATAATAAGTTGAGTCATTTTCATACAGATTATAAATAAATATATAAAATATTAATATATTATTAATGATGTAAAATGATTAATAAAATGTTAGAGCTACAACTTTAAAATTTTGATAAATCTTATGTTCACATTCATTTTGTTCAAATAAAAGATAAAAAGTATATTCTAAACCACTAACAATTATTGTAAGACTATTATACAATTCAAATACATATGCTATTACCGACAATTTTGACTTTAATTAAATCCATATACAACATCATGATGTATATAGTTCATTAATGCTACAGCAATAATTGTGCACATTTGATAAAAATTACGAGGGCTGTTTGGAAAGTTCGCGGCCTCAAATAGAACAACAAACAAAATAATGTTAAAACTTTTTTTATTTTTCAATGTAGTCTCCTTTGTTAGCAATGCACTTATTCCAGCGATGTTCTAGCTTTTTTATGCCATTACAATAGGTCGATTTGTCAAGGTGTGCAAAATACTCATTTACTTCAGAGATGACTTTGTCATTTGAGTGGAATCTCTTTCCAACCAAGAATTATTTTAAATTTGGAAAAAGGTGGAAGTCACTGGGGGCCAAATCAGGTGAGTACGGTGAATGTGGAACTAATTGGAAGCTAAGTTCATTTATTTTTTGTTCAGTGATTCTGGCATTATCATGGTGAAACAGAACCTTCTTCTTCAAGTGTGGCCTCTTCGATTTCTTTCTTCAGTTTTTCCAAAAGTATACAGTAATAGACAGCATTGATGGTCTTTCCTCTTTCTAGGTAGTCAATAAAGATGATTCCTTTATCATCCCCAAAAAACCGAGGCCATCACTTTCCCTGCTGATGGAACTGTTTTTGCCTTCTTTGGTGGTGGCGAACTGGGGTGTTTCCATTGCTTCGACTGTTCTTTTGTTTCAGGAGTGTAGTAATGGATCCACGTTTCGTCAGTAGTCACAAACCGACGCAAGAAATCCCGTGGGTTTTTCTTGTAGAAGTCCAAACACTTCTTTGACATCAAAGTGCGAACACGTCTTTGCTCAGCGGTCAGCAGATGCGGCACCCAACTTGCTGAGACCTTCGTCATACCCAAATTTTCGGTTAGATGTGGTGCACTCGGTCGACAGAGATGCCTGTTGTCTCAGCTATCTCACGCGTTTTCAAACGGCGATCTGCTAACACCAAATCGTAAACTTTGTCGATATTTTTTTCAGTGACAGCAGTTGACGGCCGTCCGCTGCGAGGGTCATGTTTCACACTCTCTCTGCCAGATTTAAAAAGGGCTGTCCATTTTTTCACAGTGGTTTACGAAGGAGCAGACTCTCCCAAAACTTCATCCATGTCAGCTTTGATTTGAGATGCGGTCAACCCTTTTTTCGTCAGGTATTTTATGACCGCACGAGTCTCCGTCTTCTCCATTTTTGACAAAGCATGTGCACATTGACTATCTGCTAAGCTGGCGTGGCAAAACTTTACGACAAATCAAGCGGAAATTGGTATCGTATCTTTAGCAAGGATGGCTGAATTATTCCCGCCAAAAATTAAATTGATCACAGCGCTGCATATAGGCAAGGCCGTGAACTTTTCAAACAGCCCTCGTAAAAAATGTTAGAATATGATTAAATTATTAAGTAATAAACAAATAAATCTTCAATATATTTTCATTGATTTTGATAAATTTCATAGCCAACAATATCAATATAAAATTCCAATAATAAAAGCTGTGAAAATTTTATGAAATTTTTCTAACAAATATATCTTATGACTAAATTCTTACTGTAATTCTGCATGGATAGATTTTTCCATGTAAAAATTTTATATAAATTAAGTTAATTCTCAATAGTTTTTCAATAAATACAAAATTATTAAAAGTTCATTACTTTTTTAGCAACTAACTCTCTTATTTTCTTCTATTTTGACTAAGTCTGACTGTTCTTTATTAATATAACCATTTTGAAATAAACTCTTAATAATAACTGCACAAATCTAATTAATACAGTGATTCCCAAACTGTATGCTGCAGCTTCCTCACAAGCACCATGAAATATTATAAAATTTTCATAATTTTACTTCCACTTTCAAATCAATGTGATAAGATGTGACATCTAGCAGACCTGGTGCAAATCATTAACTCAGTAATAAATGTGGCACATAGAATCTCAAAATGTGAAAAGCCTCATACCATTGCAGAAAAACTCATTCTACCAGCTGCTGTAGATATGGTAAACATTATGATCGATGGTCTGCTGGGTAGCAGCTTTCAAAAGTGCTTTTGTCCAATAATACTATCAGTCGCAGAATACAGCACATAGCAAAGGACCTCCAATGTTCAGTTATTGAAAAAATAGAAGGGAAGGAATTTGGATTCCAACTGGATGAGGACACAGATAATAATGATGCTCACTTGATTTGCTATGTACAGTTTATAGATAATAATAACATTGTAGATGATGTTTCCCCTTGTTGCAACAGTGCTTGTCTTCCAATGGAGTTGATTTCTCTCGAGGTACAAACTCTATTTTTGAAGAACATTTATCACAGCTTATCATCTGGTTTCAGAAATATTTTCAAAATGATAATATCAATAAATTTGCATGGATTCAAGATCCATTTAATGCCAATGCTCCATCTGAATTTACTGCTTCAGAAGAAGAAAATCTTATTGTGTTGCCTTGTGACAATACATTGAAAACAAAATTTAGCAGCACGGAATTAACTGAACTTTGGATATCAGTAAAAGATGAATATCCCCTCTGAGTGGTACAGCTCAGAGAAGCTTAATTTCATTTGTAACTTCTTATTTGTGCAAAGCTGAATTTGTCACTGTGATAAAAAGTAAGCATTGCACAAAGATCAATGTGGAGAAGGAAATGAGGTGGCTGTGTCCAGTTTGATTCCAAGGTTTGAGAAAATGTGCAGTGATCAACAGGCTCATCCATCCCACTAATTATAATTAATTGAATTTGTTAAATTATATTTTTTTGTTACCTTAAATACCTGTTTTATTTATTTTTTATTTAATGTCCTAACTCTAATTAAAAAGATATTGGCTATTTCACTATTTCGCAAATTGTACTTGTTAGAATTTGACATAGGGCGCCTTGGAAAAATCTGAATTTAGCAAGGGTGCCAAGAATCAAAAAAGTTTGGGAACCACNTTAGGAGGTAATTAAACGGGATTGTTCAAATTATTTTGAATAACAATAATGATCTAATATTTCAGTTGTGTGTGTATTTTTGTCATTTAGCTATAACTTAAAAATAAGTAATGAAGTATTTGATATTTTAGATTGCTTATATCAATATAATAAATTACCATCCTATGTAATAAAGTAAATCACCCATATGTATATATAAACAAACAAACAGCTAGAATTTAATGGTTGTTTTTTAATAATTATATAATTTCATTTAGTTAGTCTAAACATAGTTCTAGTTTGGTTCGTTTATATAGTTTTCAGATTGCTATTAGTTCTTGCATAAAATACTTAATAACAATTAGATTTACAATTTGATAAATATTACTAGTCGAATGTTACAGCTGGATTCTGATTGGGCTATTAAGAGGTTAATTAATTAATCAGATTTAACTTACTATTTCGGCATCTTTAGTACCATGTTTAATATTGTCGTTCAAACAAATAAATTTTCTGAAAAAAGTAATTTATAAATACAATTAAAACCAAATAGACAAGTACAAGTTGTTAATGAAATCAATACTCACTTAGGATTTTTACGGATATCATCTAACTGTCCTAAAACTTGGGATAAATTTGTATGGATCATTTTGAAAGCTACTTCTTCTTCTCCTAATAATTCAACTCTATTTGCTTTTCTTGTACCAAAATACTGTTTTAACATATCAGTTATAGGTTTACATGCAAGAACAAGTGGCTTAGATACCGTAGGCTGTAACAAAGTATTAAATTATTCATTACCTAAAATTATTGTGTTATTGCATGTTAAAACAAATAATACAATAGCATTAAATATTACATGAAATTACTAAGCAACTATTTCATTCAGAACAAATATCTCAAATGAGTGATTTTCTGCTGTAAAGACTCGTATTAATTATATTGATTTGGGTAAAAGTGATAATCCATTTACAGATCCCTTGTCAAATGCACAAACACGAAGTTAAAACTAACTAATCAAAATATATTTTATATGGTTTATTATTTAAATATTAAGCTTACTTTTTAATTATAAATTTTCAGTATGTTTATATCCTATTTATAAAAAATTATAATTTTAATAACTGTGTTTATGTAAAATGCAAAGTATGCAATTAAAAAAAATACATAAATTGCTAAGTTAAAACTTTGAATTTATAGTTTTGAATGAACAATTTCTTTGTAATTTTTAATTGCCAAATGATTTATATGTAATGTAAGAACAGAATTGTATTGAGAAGAGATTAAAAAAATAATTCTAGAGTTTACACATTAATTCCTGACAGCTTTTACATGTAGATACCTCAGAAGAAATAAATAATAATGTAGTTAAAAAAGCTCAAATTAATAACTTTTCAGTGATTCTATATTTAGTGACACAGTCAAACTTCATTAAGTCAAAGTTTATGGGGTAAAAAAATATCCTGATGTTGAGTTAACAAGTTTAATATCAGTTTATGGCACTTTTGCATGCATTGTCAATGTGCACAGTTGTATCCAAATCAGAATGCCAGTAACACATGGTATCAATAAAGGGATATCAATATAAGGTTGCAGCCTAATGGCATAAAGCCATTGTGTTTGCTATCTGAATTCACACAGAATAAGAGAAAATGAAGATTACAGACCTATCAAAGAGTGGAGGGGCATGGAAAAATAGGTTAAAAGTACTGACACTTTTGACTTAACAAGATCGTATTATATGAAAAACATATATACTGTGCCCAGGTTCCATAGGTAGCTTCTAGTTAATGCAGTTCAACTTAGCAAGGTTTTTCTGAATTTATCTTAATGATCTTAATCTTAATAGATTTAATGTTATTAAATTGAACAAACATTCAATAAAAATAACAATAACATGAGTTGTTAATAACAGGGTTATGTAGTCTTTGGATAGAGTTGGAGTCAAAGTTGGTAAAAATGTACCCATGAGAACTATACTAGACAAAAACATAGGTTATGAGTCTAAAAAGTAATTGGAGGATTAATGGAAAACTTAGTAACAAAATGTCTTATAGTATCAATTACTATTTTAATAAATTTATCATTATTAAGACATATTGAGCTTTTATAAAAGAAATATTTAAAGATTGAGAAGCCAAAATTGGAGTCAAAATTTAGAAACAAAAGCCAAAGTTGAGTGTTTTGTATCAACTCTACAGTTTTAATTAACAATCAGATGATTTTTCTCCAAATAAATAAACCACATAAAAGTTTTTTTTTAATATACAGTAATATATACTACTGTATATTAAAAATATATAATTTCTAAATTTGACATGTATATTAGAAACATAACTAAAATTATATTCAGATTAGATTAATGATTAAAATCTAGCAGATTCTGAACAACTGGTTTAATAATGTACTGTTAACTAAATTTTGCATCATTGCATTATTTATTATTTAAAAGAATAACTAAATATAAAGTATACTCTTTATAAGAAATAAATAAAAATTGTACATACCAGATTTGAATCATAATAACGTTCGTATGGTGGAGTCGGAACAGCATAATTGTAATTTTTTGCAAATTGTTTTGAACAATTAATAATGTTTTCTTCAAATTCATGAATAACAGAGAATTCTAGGGGTAAATCATGAAGTCTAGTTAAAACGGTCCTTATTTCTCTATCCGACCAAGTCCTTTAATAAATTTGAATTTTATTTAAATTTCAAAATAACTTGCAATCTTGTTTTTAATTTTAACTATAAAAATTAAAACTACATACTACATTACTTAATTTTTATTATGTAAAAAATAAATAACTTGCAGAATTTTTAAATAAATTTGTAAGGTATAATTTCTAAGCAAGTTTTGTCTCTTGATAAATTATTAATTTTTCTTATAAATTATTGTAGATAATAAAAGTGTATTGCCTTATCATGTGCTATTAATGCTGAAATATAATTATTAAATAGCTGCTACATTAATAAAATTTACAATTATAAATTCAAAAGTACATAGTTAAACCAAACATACAATATTCTCAAGCTTGGATTTTATTTAGAAATGCTAATGTTTTAAAATATGAAAATTTGTATAGATAACATCTGAACTGAAGAGCTGAATATCAGTCTAACATAAACTAATAAGTCAGTTTGACTGTAAAAAATATAATAATTCAAGTTAAAAATTTATTTTGTATATCCTGATTTAAAGTTTTTCTAAAACTTAATTTATTACAATTTTTAAGGCAAGTACAGTTAACTAATAGGAAGAAATATGTAATAAAAAAGCAAGTTTATCTCTCTATTATGTAAAATTAAATGTGAAATTTTTGAATTTTTATAATGAGACTAATTATTTTTATTCTAATTTGGTAGTCATCATAGAAATGAAATGATACCACAATTACATTAAAATCTGAGAAATATTGTGCTGAACTCAATGTTTTTCTTATGCAACTGTAAATAAATTCTTAATATTTTATTCTCTTAATTCAAGTTTATTAAAAAGTCATAAAAAAATAAACTGAAGGGTCAAAATACTAGACACATCTGCCTAGTAACGAAAAGCTCCATCATCTGACCTCAGTAAAGCAGCAATGCAATATGGCATGGACTTATCAAATGCTAGACTCTGTGTAGATATATTCATCTAAGCCTGTTCAATAGCAACTCACAATTCTACTCTGTTGGTTAGAAATAACTATAACTGACTTATAGTAGCCTGCAAAATATGCTCTACAGGGTTAAGATCCAAAAGAGTGCGAAACCTGTGGTCACTTTGGATATGGTGTGTCCCATATGTCCAGCATCAACAATATGTCCCTGGTCAAAGAGCAATAAACTTTTTTCACATAGTATTATAAAACTGGATAACATTGTTCATATTATTTGTGTAACCATGTAAATTTCGGCTGCTCTTATTATCAGATAGATGCAAATGCTGTTGATTACAATTATAGTATTTTATTGTCTCTAGTATTTTGGTACTTCAATTTATCATTAAATAAGTAAAATCATTATTTATTTAATTAAATTTAAAATGTAAAATGTTTTTTTATTTTGATTTTTACTCTAAAATTTCAAATGTAATATGTATGTAATTTTTATACATTAAAACCTCACTAAGTGGGAGTTTAAGAGTCCTGACTTTGAGTTACAGTTAACAAGTTTAAAACCTAAATTTTTCTATGATCATAAATTTCCCACAAGTTGTTTCTCAAGAATCTGTTCACAACATGATTACAAAATTATACACAGTTTATGGCACTTTTGAGAGCATTGCCAAGTATGTTACTGGCATTATGATTTGGATACAAATCAGAATGCCAGTAACATACTGCTCCAGGAAAAAGATGTTGATATGAGGTTATAGCCTAATGGCATGGGCACTGCATTTAACATGGATCTGTAGTGTTTGTTTATCTTAATCATCTGTATTCACACAAAATATAAAATAAAATAAAGATCACAGACCTATCAAAGGATGGCAAGTACACAGGAAAAACAGGTTCAAGTTAAAAGTACTGACAATTTTGACTTAACAATACTATAGTATATCAAAAACCCTATATACTGTGCCTGAAACCTGTAGATAGCTTCAAGTTAACACAGTTTGACTTATTCATTAGTAAGATTTTACTGTACTAAAATTATCAAAAAATTAAATAAACTGCTTATTTAAAAAAGCAAAATAAAAAAACTTTTATTATGAAGGTTTTCAGCCATTATTTTATCTAACATAAAAATAATTGAACAGTACAAAACTAGAAATTTAAAACAATGATCCTTGGCTTTGAATTTTTTGTTCCATACTATTTAATGTATTTTTATGCTGAATATGTCCAAAATAATGGCTGAATGTGTTTTCTTGGCTTCATTAAATAAGCAGTTTATTAATTTTTTTTACTGCAATAACATGTCAAATTTTGTCTATTTTCCCAATAAAAGATTTCCATTGAAAAATGTAATTTAAAGCAAATTTAAAGTACTTATTAACTATGTACAAAACAAATTTATCTCTAAAATATCTGTAAAAATGAAATATATATCCATTATACATAAACAAACATCATGAAACCCGATAAATTTGAAGCAAATTGTCTGCCATTCTTTTTGATAAAGTGATCAACTTGTAAGAAGTGTATTCTTTGCTTTTTTATTTTTGATATTGATGGAGATTTAATTCATCGTACATTGTACGTTCTGAGTTAAAAAAAGAATTTCTTTCATTGATTGATTTTTTTTTTTTTGATAGTACATAATTGATCTTGACTTGTTTTGAATATTTGAAATNGAACATGATTACAAAATTATACACAGTTTATGGCACTTTTGAGAGCATTGCCAAGTATGTTACTGGCATTATGATTTGGATACAAATCAGAATGCCAGTAACATACTGCTCCAGGAAAAAGATGTTGATATGAGGTTATAGCCTAATGGCATGGGCACTGCATTTAACATGGATCTGTAGTGTTTGTTTATCTTAATCATCTGTATTCACACAAAATATAAAATAAAATAAAGATCACAGACCTATCAAAGGATGGCAAGTACACAGGAAAAACAGGTTCAAGTTAAAAGTACTGACAATTTTGACTTAACAATACTATAGTATATCAAAAACCCTATATACTGTGCCTGAAACCTGTAGATAGCTTCAAGTTAACACAGTTTGACTTATTCATTAGTAAGATTTTACTGTACTAAAATTATCAAAAAATTAAATAAACTGCTTATTTAAAAAAGCAAAATTATGAAGTCACATACAATGAAATAATAGAAAACAAACTGTTTTTTAAAATAAAAACAATCAGTTTGGTATATAACTTTAAATTATTCAGAATTAAGAAATAAAAACTCATTTGATGACTATTATAATTATTAAAAGAAACTATAAAGAACTTATAATGCAGTAATATTTTTCACATGAAAACTATACTAAACAGTAAATAATATATTTGAAAGCTTTTGTGAAAAGGAATCTCCACAAACCACAAACCACAAAGCCTAGTTGAAAGAGGGTAGGGGGTAAGTTAGTGGCTACTGTGAATCACTACAATGGAGGATGGGGTCTGGATCTGGTTATATAACCTAGCTCTTCTTAAAAAAAATCATTCTATGTTATAGAATGATTTTTTTTAAGAATATCTGTATTACAATATTATACAATACTATCTGTTGAAAGTGTGTAACAGACTTGATGTCATGTGCATGGAGTATCAGAGAAACTATTAACAGAAGCAACATTGAGCAAAAAGAAAATAAATCAGCAATACTGATCAAGAACTGACAGGGCAACAGCAGCAAAAGTCTAAGTTACATAATTGTAAACAATTATAATAATTCAATTTAACTTGTTGTTATAAAAAACTGAACTTTATAAACTGAGACATGTAAGTAAGATAGTGATATTAGTGAGCTACCATCTGACAGTGTACGATATCATGCGCTAATAATAGCACTTCATAAACATCACTAATAACAGTATATATTGAAATGTGCTTCAGAATGTGTTACAAGAAGCTCCAGGAAAACAGTTTTATATTAACTTTTTATATAAGAGATCTCCAATTACTTTGCTTAGCAGAAGAATAGTTTCAACATTTTATAATTGAGTGCATTTTAATATTTTGCCATATTATTTGTAGGGTTTGTTGGTTTTTAAAACTTGGTTTGGAAAAATTAGTTTTTTGAATAAATTTATATAATTTGAAAATCGGGTTTTCTCAACTTAAAAAACCAGGTTTTGAGCCTAGACTTAAAAATTAATTAATTATTTGATTAAAAGCATCAACATTTTGACAAAAAATCATCTTTGGCATAAAACGAAAATATTGAAACTAACTACAAAAACAAACAAAATCTCCCTATGCCTAAAAAGCATCCAATTCTCCCTACAATAGGGAGAAATTTTGCAACAACAGAAAAACAATAGAAAAATTTGTACACTTAAAAAAATTTGTTGTTTTAGCTATGAATGACATTGGTGCTACTCACACATGGAATGAAGCAGAGTATTGTAAAATTGTAGTTTTATGACCAATACATTTAGCAGCCGATGGAATAAATAGGACAACAAGATTTGTATCTTGTCGTCCTATTTATTAACAAGTGAAGGCATATTTGACTTTTTTGTTATGTGAATTGAAAAATTTGAAAACTGAAATTAATTTCAAGTTGTTACATGCTGCAGAGGTATGAATTCATGAGAGAAGACAAACGGGATTAGTAACACTTCTCCTTTATTTACAAAATCCACAGAACATTTGGACAAAGTTGTCTAGTGTATTTCTTCTATTAGCTTCAAAATCTGATATCATTAAGTTATCTGGACAAATATTATCCAAATTATTCCATAGAAGATGACTGCAATGATGAAAAAGTGGCAAAGAAGAAAATCAAGCCATAGCTTTAAAAAATAGTATGGAAAAATTGATACAAATATCTTCGAGAACCTGAAGAAATGACTTTGTCCAGCCCTAAGACACTAAAAAAAGAAGTTTTTAGTATTAGAGAATACAAACAGAAGAACAAAAAATTTAGATTTATTATTTAATGCTTTAAAGACAATTAAACCCAGTTCAGTAGCAAGTGAAAAAAAGATTTCTATTTCTAGCAATTTTGTGTGCAAAATAAGAACACGGTTGAGCAACAGACCTATAGACCAGGGATGGTCGACTGGTTGACCGCAAAGGTTTTGAAAGTAGCCCGCGAAGCTAAAGTTGAACAATTTGCTTTCACTTAAATTAATGTTTAAAAATCTTAATTTGATAATTTATTCTTACAATAATAGACTGTCTGTGCAACGTACCCATACTGTTTGTATTAATCCTGATGAACAATGCAAATGAATGTTAACGCATGCCCATATAAAAATCCTAAAATCGTTTGCCCATATTCATAGTCACCTGCAGACTATATTTTACCAAAAAAGTAGCTCCTAAGGGATAAAAGTTTGGCCACACCTGCTATAGACGTTCTTTGCTTTCTAAAATCATATTTTCTTAGGAAAAAAAAAAAATAATATTTTGTAGGNTCTTCATTAATTGAATTTTAAAGTAACAATACGAAATTTACAATGAACAAAAATTCTCTCTAATTAAATATAAAAGTATTTTAAAGAAAAATATCAAGATTGGGAATTCTATTTAGGTGTAACCACCAAATTTGTTTGATATAGTTAGCAGGGCCTAACTTTATCAATCATTAGGATTAGAGAAAGATGGGGCAGACCAATATTTTAGTGGACCTGGTTTTATAGCCCTTGTAAATTTCTCCTGCTATAAAGTGGAGATTGGCAGTGATGGCCAGCACCTTTGACTCCAGGATGATAACCTTTAATCTATCATCATCAGTCCAGGGCTCAGATTGGTTTGTTGGTAGTCAAGGAGTCTGAATAAAAAGGGAAGAAACAAGTGTTGTGTTTGTTCAGGGAAAGTTGTAAAAAACTTCTAATATTCCTCTACCTGATGTTTAAACTTAAAAATAAAAAAAAATAAAAATATTCAGAAGTAGAGCCATAATCTGGTTACAAAAGTCACAATGATGGAAAGGAGATTAAAATTCACAAAATATTAGACTATGGGGTTTGTAAACATTCCCAAACAAATTTTTCAAAGTTAGAGTGACTTTCTAGCTCTTCCTCATTAATGGCTAAATTAATTAAATTCTTATTATTAAATTTATATTTCTCTAAATCTATTTGATAATAGTAATAATAATATCCTAGATTTATCAAAATTTAACTATATAAAAACATTTTATAAGACTAAATTAGACTTTTTAGAAAATATAGAAAAATTTCTTTCAATAGCAATAAAAATGCAAAATTTAAAATAATTTGCATGTGTATTATTTAGAAATGAAAATATTCCTAATTATAAGGATAAATTAAAAAATAAAATTTGTTTAATTACTATTCTTCATATACTAACTTTTCTTGCACTCTTTTCATCACATCAACATCAATAAAATGAGCAATATGAGCAGGCACTTTTCGAGTTTCAAATCCGAATGCTTCATTATATAATTTATTCACATGACGTAACGAATCTCCAAATGTGTCTAGTAATTTCCTTCTTTTAATGGATTCAACATTATAACTATCTGAAGAACGTTTCTGATCTAACAACTAAGAAATAAAATAAATTATTATTATTTATGCTGTAAAATAAGCATTGTACTTTAATATAAACACCTAAGAAAAATATAACAATTACCTTTTGTAATTTACTAAATGTATTTTGTTTCTCCCATGGAAATTTTCCATTATGGAAAATTACCGATTCAGGTTGTACTAAACCTTTTAACTGTCTTAAAGTTTTAGTACTATTTAATTTTTGATAAATTTTTTCTTTATGTTTATTGTTAAAAAATGATATTAATTTTTCCTTTTCTTTTCTAACTTGAGTGGATTTTTGTTTAAATTTCTGAGATTCTTTTTGTAATCCAACTGAATTTGTTTGATTTATTCTATTCTTTTCAAAGAATTTCATTAAAAGTAATTGTTTCTTCCTTTGAAAGCCTTTTTCTGTAATTAGACCTAAGAAAAAAAAAACATTTTTTAAAAATTAAATACAATATATTATAAATCAAGCTGTAAAGGTAAAATTTAAACATTTTAATTTTTTTCTAGAAATGAATGAAGAAAAAAAAAAGGTTCTAGGATGTTTGATATAGTTATATACAGTAGAGCACCGATTATCCGACTCAATTGGGGGACTCAGGTTGGTCAGATAACAGAAAAAATCGGAAAACTGAAAAAAATACATTATTAGTCTAGTATATTAGTATATCCCATGTAATTAGTATATTAGTATATTGCTATTAACCAACTTCACGTTGAATTTTCATCGATGTTAAGCCTAACAAAATTTTTTTTTTTAAATAATAATTGTCACTATTGTTAAAAATTATTTTAAAATTATTTTATTGCTCACAAAACAAACAACCACTCAAAATTAGATAATTAAGCCTCGTTTAAATACTGGCCTCCCTTCAATGGTCGAGCCGATGTTGCCAGCTAAAACACGCAAAAATTTAACAAAAATAATATTAAAGTAGCCAAGACATAGCCAAATATTGTAATGCCACATCACTAGCGGACATTTGAAATTTGCCGACTAGAACGGTCAGTTAACCGATGTGACGGTTAATCGGGGGTCGTCGGATAATTGATGCTCTACTATAATTACAGTAACCAAAGGCCATTTCATCACAAATTTTGTTGGAAATACACACATTGGCAATGTTTAACAATATGAAACTTTCAAAGAAATACATTTGAATGCTGTTGCTCTACCACTTCAAAAGTGGCCACAATGCAACAAAGGCTCACAATCTCATCTGCAAGGCATTTGGCATGGACACAGTCAACAGGCAGAGCTGCTACAATTGGTTGAAGAAGTTCAAGAATTGAGATTTCTCGCCTCAAAATAAACCCTATCCAAGCAGTGATTCACCATTCTCCTGCAACTGATAGATGATAATCCATGGTTGACCACCAGCAAATTAGCACAACTTGAGTGTTCCCATATACTCCAAAAATAAAGTCTAATACCAACACAAAAATACACTAGCATACAGAATAAAGATAACTTTAGAGAAGTTGGCCAGTCAAGACTGGGAAGATCTGTTTCATTCACCTTAGATCCAGGCTTGACACAAACTGACTAAATCTATTTTGCCCTGTTGTCAATACATGGTTACAATCTATTGTGCCCTGCTGTCAATATATGGTTAGTTAAATGACAACATCCATTTAAGAACAATGCTCAAGACTTTCTTCAAAGAAAAACCCAGTCATTCTATACTCATGAGATTACAAGTTTGTGGCAAAGGTGGCAAGATGTGATTGATACTGATGGTAATTAGCTACAAAACTGATATGTAATCATTGTTGAGTTAATTGTCAATAAAGTATTTTTTCAAAATGTCTAAATTTTATCTTCAAAACCTGATAATTGTTAATTTTATGGAATTAGACAAAAAATATTTTGTAAAATGGGATGTTTATCTTCATTAATTGAATTTTAAAGTAACAATACGAAATTTACAATGAACAAAAATTCTCTCTAATTAAATATAAAAGTATTTTAAAGAAAAATATCAAGATTGGGAATTCTATTTAGGTGTAACCACCAAATTTGTTTGATATAGTTAGCAGGGCCTAACTTTATCAATCATTAGGATTAGAGAAAGATGGGGCAGACCAATATTTTAGTGGACCTGGTTTTATGGCCCTTGTAAATTTCTCCTGCTATAAAGTGGAGATTGGCAGTGATGGCCAGCACCTTTGACTCCAGGATGATAACCTTTAATCTATCATCATCAGTCCAGGGCTCAGATTGGTTTGTTGGTAGTCAAGGAGTCTGAATAAAAAGGGAAGAAACAAGAAGGTAGAAGGATGAGCAAGATCCTAATCAGAGAAGGAGACAAACTGAATCAGTCACTCTTCTCAGTCATCCCAGTAAGAAAATTCTTTTGAGATGAGCAAGTTTAGTTGGGGACTCATCTCATCTGTAACAGTTCAAGACTATAAAAGTGTGTTTCTCATGGATCTGAAAGAAACAGACTATATGTAGGTATACATATTATTTGAAGTAAGAATTTATTCAAATATAATTTAAACAATTAAATATTTCTGTAATCACTTTTTGAACAATAAATTCCCTTTAAACTATATTTTAATTAGAATAGAAGCTGCCTATTGCAATTACAGATTTTGTTACCAATTGGCTAATGTTATAAAAATTAGATGTTTCAAAATATTGAAATTAAAAAAACACTACTCATAATCAAATTTTGGTTATAGCTAGTTATCTTTAGACAAATAGACATCTTTAGGCAATTTTTTATACTGTCAACTTCAGCATGTGGCTGATAACAAGTAATCATTATCAACTATTGTTAACAGTCTTAATACTTTAATTGTAAAATGTTAATAGTTTTAATCATATTTGCAGTTTAATGGCTTAAATTGCTGAAATTTGTTACTTCAATTACATGCTGGATGAATTACTTTTAATTGATAGTAATAATTAAATTAAATAAATCTTCAAATTATATATTTTTTTAATTGTTTTAATATGTTCTATTAATGTGAGAGTCAATAAAACTTGAATAATTTCCACTAATTATAATCTTATTTACTTATTCTGCTTAATACATACATACCATACATACATATATTTTAACTCTGTGGGCACTAAGAAGGCAAGCCTCTTATGGTCCAGCCAGACCCACAATGGAATCACTAGGAGGTAACATAACTGGACAGACCACATCCCAAAAAATTCCTGGAATGTTTCAATCCAACTGGATTTGATCCCAGATCTCCAGAACAGTAGCCTCTGGCCATCATCTGTCTTAATGTTATCAGTATAGGCATGTCCCAAAGTGATTACAACAGGCAATTCTATTGTTTAATCAGATATATTCATTTAACATTACAATTAAATTTTCACTAATATTTAAAATTACCTTCTGATAATGATTTCTCAAGAGCTTTAATATTTTCAGAAATATCTGAAGGTAAATCAGATGTATTCACATTGTCAATATTTAAGTCAGGCACAATTTCTGATATATGGAGAATTTTTGGTTGTCTAGAAAAAAAAAAAAAGAAGAAATAAATCATATATTTTAATAGATTTTAATAATTAAAAATCATATAAATATTGAACTTTACAAAATAAATAATTTAATGAATCACTCAAATTATAATGCTGGATTCATTGAGTCATAACTTAGCTAATTAAATAAACAGATATAAAATAATTTGGACAAAAGATAGGTGGTTAAGACATCATCTTTAATTAGCAAAATTACAACTTCACAAATCTGATGTATCATTTAATTAGTTTATAGTTTTGGGCTTAGCTACTGTAGAATTAACGAATTACAGATAAGAAAGTAAATCTCATAGAAAGATTTTTCAATTATATTATTAACTTACTGTAGGGTACTGTATTTCAAGTAAATAAAAATATTTCAAAAAGTGAAGTTTAAATACCTGAAATACCCTTTTTCTGAATGTTTTTCTTTTTTGAGTAATAAAATCTAATGAGATAATAAAATTTTTATAGTTATCAGCTAATTTTTGTTGATGTCACAAATATAATATAGTAGAGCATCAATTATCTGAATAACGATCAACTGAAACACAGGTTAGCCAAAAGCATTCTAGTCGGCAAATTTAAATTTTCGCTAGTGCTGTGGCGCTGCAATATTTGGCTATGTCTTGTGCTATTCCATTATTATTTTTGTTGGTGTGCGTGTTTTAGCTGGCATCATTGGTGTGACCATGAGAGGTACTTAAATTTTACACTTTTCTGTTCTCTTGAATTATAAATTTTTGTACTTCTAAATAATTAATATTTTAAAATGCTACAAATTTACCAGCAAATTACTGAAAGTAAAAGTAGAATATGAAATTCTTCTAGATGGACAATGAACAGTTTCAATTAACATATTGTGAAGAATATCCAAATGAATGGCTTCCCATATTTGCATCTCACAAAAAGACTTTTGATACATTAGAAATATTTATTCAAGATTCATTACATTTTTCAACTTGTATGCTCTCATCAGATTATATATTATTTAAATAACTATGCTCAAAACACCTATTTTATAAAGAAATAATCCATGGTAAAGACCTTTTGTGGGAAATGTCTGATTTGTAAAAAAAAAATCTCCTAAATGCTACTTTTTGTAATAGATATTGGTCAAACTATCTGTCTTGTCTCCATTCAATAAGTGTAAATATTTTTTTAGATTCATTCTGAGTCACTTATTGAATTATTTATATTTGTTTGATATTCTGATGACAGCATACAAGCTGAAACATTTAATGAATTTTGAATAAATATTTCTAATGCCATTATGAGTCTTTGGCAAAATGAAAATACAGTTTAATCCAATTATAACATCATTGGATGTAACGATAACCCTAATACAACGTCAAATTTTTATCAGTCTCACGATTTTACTATACTAGATAATGTTAAATAACCCACTTGTAACGACATAAAACCCTGTTTTAAAATCACATTTAAAGAACTCTCAAATTTACAAAATTAGATTACAAATTTTATTTAACAAAGAAAATACTACGTGTTCAGTCCCTACAGTCAGAGCCATTTCCTAGAATAGTGTTTTTCAACCTGTGGGTCGCGACCCCCAGGTGGGTCGCAAAGCCATACATGGGGGGTCGCGGGTAAAAGAAAAAGCCAAGTGTTTGTAGGTCCTACTCTACAATAAAAAACTACAATTTCAGTGAGAAGGCTGTGCCTGTTTATTTTACAGTACAATTAGTTTTTTGATCGATATTTAAATCTCAACAGAAAGAAAATTAAATACGTAGTTTTTAAAATCACAGTCATAGTTTTAATACGGCCGTGGGGGGTCGCCAGAATTTTTTAACTTGTAAAGGGGTCGCGTATTCAAGAAGGTTGAAAAACACTGTCCTAGAATGACTATGGGTGGGGTGAGGTCTGCCACACCTTTAAACAATGCAACAATCAGTTAGTCTGCATAGTCACTCGTGTTATTTTATACAGATGCAGATATTGTTGAGCAAATTAAATCTTCAGATGAAAAAAATGAGGATGATGAAGATGACGATGAAGATAAAACATCAGACAGAGAAAATGAAGTGTCGTCAACCAGGGAAGCGCATAATGCAATAAGATTATTGAAAATGTTTTACGTGTCTTGGAAAACTTCATCAAAAATAATGAATAAAGTGTATGATTTAGAAAATGACATTGATAAACAATTTTTAGGTGAAATACACCCACAATCTAAAATAACTGACTTTTTTTAAATGAGTATTGTTATTCTGTCTTTTTAATTGGCATACATTAGTTTAACCTTTTGTTGCCTTTTGATTTAACATTATTCTCAAAACCAAAAGTGCCACCATTATCAAAACTTAAGACAAATAGAAATTTCTTATAAAAGGTAATTTTTGAAATTTTAATTACATCAATGTAAACTTAGACATAATAATGTAAATAAAGTTGATTTAAACATTTAGTTTGCACTTTTATACATACGATAATAAATTATTATTACCATAATAGATACAGTATACTGTATTACCATTAAGAAATAATTTTATGGTAATACATATGATGTTAAATTAGAATGGATTTTATAATAGATTCTTAAACACACTTGGTACTTTTTATGGGACTAAAATTATGACCCTGCAGATAATGACACTTGGTTATAATGTCAAAAAATTGCCAGTACCATGGATGACATTATAACTGGTTTAAACTGTATATAGAGCTATTCATATTCTTTGTAACTTGTAAATTTAATTTTTTCATATTCTAGTTAATTTCATATACACAGAAAATTCAAAACCAAATCTCTCTATCATTTGAAATTTTATATTAAAATCTGTAAAAATTAATTATTTAAGTATTAAAAAAATGTCAAATATATAAAAGATTTTAATTCATTAGATTAAGTTATTAGGTTCATAACATTAAAATAAGCTGATTCAATCAATAAGTCAATTTCCTAATGTTTTCTTTGAAAAACTATTTGCAAAAGTTTAATTTTGTTTCTGAAATGATTCTCAACTTGATATTGACTATTGAAAGTATCATTACAGTTTTTCATTTTCTATAATAATTTTCTATATTTGATTATCAAAAATCACATACAATAGACCCCCTATAATGCGGGTTCCTATAACGAAGCGAAAAAATTACGACAGTATTCGTAGAAAGATGCTAAAAGGGACATGTAAAATGCGATAAAATGTCATCGCCAACTCGTCATTACGGACGAGCAGCCAAACTATTTTCCGCCGTCCAGTGCCACGCTATGGAGAGTTTAGGCGGATAAGTTGAGTTTACTATCGTCTGTATTATATATAAATTAGGTACTGTACATATAATTATATATTAATTATATATAAATTAGGTACTGTATATATAATTATATATTAACTTAATTTATTGTAACTTTATTATAATTATATATATACTTTCCGCCGTCCAGCGCCACGCTACGGAGAGTTTAGGCGAGTAAGTTGAGTTTACTATCGTCTGTACAGTATGTAAATTAGGTACCGTAAGTCTAATACAGTACTGTAATTTTATACATTTCTTGTGAAAGAAACATTTCTTATTCAACGGCCATAAAAATTATTTCTATTAATGATGTCTCCAAAGTTCAACGAATTTTTCGCAGAAAAATAACATCAGAAATCGCGGCCGCCGTTTGGTGCGCTGCTCCGCGACGAACACAAGCTTAAGCAATGGCGACATCGAACGGTGCACACTAGGTAAGTAATCCTATAATTTTTTGTTTATAGCATAGTTTATACGGATTATTCCCAAAAAATTATATGTATTTTGGAAATGTTAAGTCGAATTAGTCTAGAATCTATTAATTTTATGGAAGAAAACCTTTCAAACAGCCATAGTCCGTAAACTTCACACGTGTTGGGCTGCGATTGGCTCATGTATTTAAGGATTCCTACAACGCGAAATTCGTATAACGAGGAACGTATCTCCACATTATAGGGGGTCTACTGTATTTACTTTTAACATAAATCTGTTTGAATTAGCATTAATAAATATTAGTTTTATTCTTAAATTATTTATTTAATTCTTATAATTCTTGATGTAAAAATCACAATTATTATTAACAAATTACACCTCTTCTAAAAAAGAAAATCTTTTCAAAAATATCATAATTATCTATTGACTAATACATATGCCAATAGATATGGTCAGTTTTTTAAATTGTTGAATTCTTACAATAAGATTTAATGGAATCAGATTTTGCAGTAAAAATTCTAATTAAATAAAATAAAACACATCACCAAACGAAAAATCAAACTCGGCTTTGTGAATACTTAATGAATTATTCATATCATGTTCTGCTGCTGAGAAAGGGACAGCCTATTGTATTAGGTTTTCCACCTAATACAATAGGCTATCCTTGGATGTAACCAAATTCAAACACCTTTTCAAAAAATGGAACATTTTAATGAAGGAATGCCTGAACTCTTACATTTATATTTGAAACTAGCAGACCCCTGCCACATGTTGTTGTGGCTCAAAATGTATCTATTATAAATGTATAACACTTTTTTTGTGGGGGAGAATTTTTCGAAAAATCCCTTCTTAGTGTACATTCTTTTGAGGTACCCTATTAAAAAGACTGAAAGACCACAAAAACATATTAAAACCCAATCAAAAACGCAAAAATCCACATCAAAAATAGTATAATAGAAGCCAAGTTCTTCATGTTAAGCCTTAATCCTGTCCTCTCTCCCGCAGGGGGTATATAGAAAAATCCCTTTTTAGTGTATATTCTGTTGACATACACTATTAAAACGCAATCAAAAACGCAAAAAACCGCATCTAAAATAGTATAAATAGAAGCAGAGTTCTTTAGGGTAAGCCTTAATTCTGTCCATCTCCCCCAGTGGGGGGGAATTTCAACATGTATATTATATAAAAACATGTGCGTATTCAAATGCAGCGTTGTGTGAAAATTTCAAAGGAATCAGTAGGAACAAACGAACATTACATTTTTATTTACATAAATAGATAGAAGATGATCTGCTTTAGTTCATTTTCACAGAAAAAGCATAATGCCTCACAGAAAAGCAAACTTAGGGTGTCGTACTTGTAGCGCCATCTGTTGGACATAAAAGCCTTAACCTAGATTATATCTTTTAATTTATATGAATGTTTAATGGAATAATATACAGCCTATGTCCACCCTGAAGTTCCATTCTAAATATTGGTGAAAGAAATTTTTGAAATCGGATGAGTAATTTCGGAGATTACCCCTACATCCAAACTTACAAATATTACCTCTTTATAATATTAGTATATATCAGTGTTTCTCAACCTCTAACAAATCGTCGCCCCCTTCAATAAAACCGTTACGTAGTATCGCCCCCTTCACTTCAAAATTCCAATGTTGAGGGCCAAGGCTAACGCCAAATTCGTACTGCATTGAATAGACTAGTGACCAGTATAATGTTATTTGTTTAATTATTGAACAATATAACGAATAAAATATCTAATTATTCTTAATATAATGTTTTACTATATCACCCAGAAAATTGTTTTTCGCCCCCCAAAATATAAATTGTTACTAATCACCCGCTCCACCTGGAAAAACGCCCGCATGGGGGCGATATTGCCCCCGTTGAGAAACACTGGTATAGATGAACATTAAACAAATTAACAATTGAATAAATAAGCTACAAAGATAAAATATGATAAATTAAAACAACAACATAAATAAACTACCTTCTACATGGAAATTCTGTATAAAAGAAAGATTAAAATACAAAACTTCTTAGCACCTGCCCTTATATTTTGATACATTTTTGTTTATTTTATTTTATTATTTATATTATTGTTGTTTTAGTTTGTTTATTATATTTTATTTTTGTAGTTTATTTATTTAATTGTTAATTTTTCTAGTATTTTGTTTTAAATTGAAACATAAGAGTTCAGACATTCCTTCGTTAAAATGTTCCATTTTTTGAAAAGGCATTCGAATTCAGTTACATCTGAGGATGACTTATTGTATTTGATTGAAAACGTTTATTTTGTTTAATAAACATTTCTAAGTAGCAGAACATGGTATTGATAATTCATTAAGTAAAACACATCATCATTTAAAATGTTTGCCAAAGAAAATAATTTAAAGAAACATTTTTTTCTTTCTTTAAATTACATGTTTTTCTTTATAAAATTTCTATCAGTTTTGATCATTTTGATTAAGTATATACTTAAAATTAATTATATTTTTAATAAAAGATTAACTATAAATAATTAAAAAAGTTACTTAATACTTAGTTACTTATATTTATATTTATGCTAAAATTAGACTTATATATTTTGAATAATGTACCTTAATTCAGGAGAAAATTCTTCTACAGTAAAACTTTTAGTTTTCATTGTAGTACTTAATGTTTCTTCTTTTTCTTTCTTTATAATTAAAGGATATGTATTTACTTCCAGCCAAAAAGTAAACTATAATATAAATTAAAAGAATTATTACATTGATACATATTATGCATATTTTTGAAGTAATGTAATAATGATTGATGAATTTGCCAAATGTCAAAATTCCTTTTTTGTGATATTGAATTGTCAATTTTGCAGAAAATTTGTAAAAAAGCTGAGGAGGGACTTTAAGTCTGAAATGCATACTATTCAAAATAAATTAATATATTGAAGCTGGTCTTGTATATGATGATGGTGTGATAAGTCTAGAAATAGAGTGACCATTATAGAGCTCACCAATACATCTTATATGAAGTCTTTCAGACGTTAAGGTTAGCAACTTCAATCACATGCAGGGCCATTACAACCTATCCAACACAGATAGAATATGGAAATTTAGGAGAGGGTCATTTTAATCAAAATAACAAGTTGAAGGAAAGATTAGAAAAATCAAGAGAAATTAATATTTTTCAACTTCAACGAAGTTTCTAAAAAATGGAAAAGCATCTGATTGAAAGGAACTTGATTTCCTTTCCAGGCCAACTCATGATGAGTCGAGTTTTTTCACACGTTACTGGAGAGCAAATAAAAGGGATGTTTTCCTGCCATTTGAGACAGTCCGTCAAAGAAAGGTATTTGCCATACGGAGAAATCCAATATATGATAAAGGCAGTCCGTCGAAAAGAGGTTTGCCATACTAAAAAAGAAGCTCGCCATACGATAGAGGCAGTCCATCGAAGAAAGGTTGTCATACAATCTCGTCTCATGAAAGAGGACCATATTCAAAGTATACAAGAGAAGATTTAAAAGAACTCTCCTAGAAAATATTAGAAGAGAAATAATCAAGAAAGAAAGAAGACCCTCAAATAGATATAGCAAAGATACAAAAAATCTAAAGAAGAAGGTACTATGAACTCTGATAGATTGTTGTGAACTCTCTCTCACGCATTAGGTTTAGAGATAATCATAGTTTAAGAATTAGAATTAAGATTAGGTTTAGATTCATTCTTTTGTATAATTTTATATTTTGATCCATTAAATATTTTTGATTTGTTATATAAATATGGCTTCTTTAATATTAATGTTAGATATTCACGAGTTTAGGGATAACGTATGTTAATCCGCGTATAAAATAATTGATTAACTGATGTCGGGAATCCTGACGTAAGGAAAAGATGATTACACGATCATCAAATTCCACTTTAAATTAACATATTAGTTAAAGCCCTCTACCCTCGATTTTCCTTGAATTAGGAAAAGCCATTCTTTTAGACAAACAGAGGTGTATTCAAGAGAATAGTTGCCGATTAAGTGGTACAAGGGTCTTACCACTCCGTATCCACGGTTGAGCGCCTCACATTTTCAAATATTAATAGTAGACAAGTATTAATTAGTAGTCATTGACAGTCCTCTCTTCCAGGTGGAAATCCACTGGTCAACAACCACTTTTGGTCGAATTTCTTCAGTCCCTTTAGTATGGTGGCATTCAAATAGGAAAATTGCATAATACAAGGTTACCAGTCTGTTTAAGTGGTTTTTGAGGGTGCCAAGTTTAAATATTTGGAAATACTTCACTCATAAGCCTTAAATTATTTTCCAGTACAGTACAGCCTCAAAAACTCGGCCTAATGTGGACCGAAGGGTGGCTGAGTTTGTGAAAATGCCGGATTATCGGGAATGGGGTTAAAAAATAAGTATGAATGTTTCCTCAGAAAATACTGTACTGTACTTGTATGTATTGTTTACTTGAGAATATAACAGAGAATAAACTGCCCAAATACCCTTAAACAAAGGAAAAGTACGTCCTTTATGAAGGCATAGAGCCTTTACTACATGAAAATGAAAATTAATGAATACACTGTGTACAGTAATTTACCTGATAAGACAGACCTCAGAAAAATACTTTATGAGGCATAAAGCTGTCTTTATCATGAAAATTAATTAACTAAGGATTTTTTTGCCCTGCCAGGGTGTGGCCGAGTTATCCAGAGTGCCGGGTTATCGAGTGCCAAGTTTTCAAGGCTCTACTGTAACAGTTAATTTGAAACAGTTTTTTTGACTAACGTTTTTGATCTTCAATTGGAGATCTTTGGATCTTGATTCTATATTCATTGATGGAATGCTTAAATTCTTAATGATTTAAGCATTCCATCAATGAATATATCATATTTTTGATTCTTGTCTACTTGTCCAATGAAATTGTGCCATAATGACACACTCGAAACCAATTATGGTGTGATAACGAAACAAAAAAATAAAATAAAACAAACATTTTCAAACAGTTAAGAACCTGAACATTTTTGAACCCCTTCTGGAGGTTTGAAAATGTTCAGGTTCTTAACCATTCCTAGATGGTTATTATTATTCCATAAACAAATTAAATAACCGTTCCTAGATGGTTTTTCATAAACGAATAACCATCTAGGAATGGGTAAGAACCTGATGCAGAGCTCAGAAGGAGTTTGAAAACATTCGATTTTTTGTTGTTTCATTATCACTGAAATTGTACCATTTTGTACCATCCAAGCATTGCGTAAAACATGACAACAGTAGGCTAAAATAACCAAACTCATTATATGGTTTTCATTTTAATGTTTGTTATATTATAATATTTGATTTTTATAACTACAAAGATTATCATAAGTAAGGTTTATCACTCCGAGTGACCAATCTAACACATTTCTAAACTTCTTTCTTCCTCTACCATATACAATTTAAAGAATTTTTAAAATGTGTTAGATTGATCACTTGATGCTGCAATAAGCCCTTATGTAAAATAATCTTTGTAGTTATATAAATCAAATGCTATAATACAATATAATAGAAGGTTAGTAGTATAAAATAATTTAATAATCTTAATGTTTGTTCTTATTTTTTGCCTGGGCAATGCTGGGTTTAACTGTTATTTACTAATACATCAGGTTTCATTATGTTTGTATATGCAAAGTTGAGTTGGAATCCACTGAGATACAAACAACATGCAACACTGCACATCATCATCCATTTCATCCCATCTACACTCTGCTTCCATTATTTAAATCATCAGAATTGATTCTTATATACATTGGGGGCAATGACAATGATTTAAAAAAGTTTCTCATTGTTGGGTTTTCATAGATATATATAAAAGAAAAAAAAAGTACTGTACAAAACAGGTATACTTTATTTCTACTTCTAATTTTTGTAGTATAATGTAAAAACATAAATTGGGAGGATAGAAAATTTGCTTGTACAAAAATATTGGAGACATGTCTCCTCAGACCCTTATGGATTTAAATGTACTATCACACATTGTTTTACATACATTTTGTGTTCTTTACATTATTATTTGAAATATTAAAGTTTTTAAACAAACAAATAGATGTATTCTATATAAAATTTCAGGAGCTATTCAATATTAAAAGATAATCTGAACTTGACTATTTCTCAACTTTTCACAAAAATAAATGGATGCATTATTAAAAAAACAATGATTTATCTGTAAATTATTTATTTTCTCATTGGATGTGTCAGTATGCCTCTAATGAAAACAGAATAGAGTACATCATTAAATCATACAATGCAGAATAAAATTAGCAAAAAAATTTTTACTTGTGCATGCCTGTGACATTACATACATAATATGAAAATATCAGAGAAATGTTCACCTAACATTTGGAATATACATTTATACTTTATTTCAATTTCTGAAAAACATAATTAATTCTACAATTCTATATAATAAGATCAAAGAAAATATGTCCTTTCATATAGCACAAAATCATCTTATATTTTAAATACAAACAACATTCTTCTGTTATTAATCCTTTTAGAATTCTGTTTATCCTTTTAGAACCATGCTGAAATGCATATTTATTGAGAGACTGTAAATCTGAATAAAATTTTTATTGTAAAAATAGTAAAGCATTGCATTTTAATGTTAAATAAAAATTAAAATCTGAAAATCAGTCTTCTCCTATGATAAGCATCAAAAAAATATGTTATAGCCCTAAAAGGATAATTTTAATAAAATAGTTAATATTCTTCCAGTCTTCAGTTTTTCCTGTTATATAGTTGAAAAAATTTCAATTTGTAACAATAAGCTTACAGGAAATCAGAGTTCAATTTACAATCATTCACTTAACAATGATTTTTCAAAAACTGATTAAGGGTCTACTGTAGTTAATTCTTTAATATTCAGTAATTAATATATCACACAGAATATAATTACCTGAAATGCTTTTTGTAATCTCTCTCCTTTAATTGTTACAGTCAAATTGGTGGTATTGTAATTTGGGTAAAGAACTACAGTAAGAACTTGATATTTCAATGAAATAGCCATAACTCTAACAACTGGAGAATGTTCATAATTTCCTTCAGAAATAGTTTCGTTATCACTTAAAAGATTGGAAAGGTTGAAGTACACAAAAATTTCACCTAAAAAATATTTAAAGTACTTTATAAATAATTTATAAATGAAAAAAATAAGTTTCAAGGGCAAGATTTCAACTTATATATTCATCATTTATTCTAAATATTCACTTAAATATAGCATTAAAAATATATCACAAATGAATAAATAGTTTTTGTTGGTTTAATTATTTATTTAATTATTAAAAGTAGTAAAACAATGAGATCATTACACAGATGTTTCTAATTTTTCAAAAAATTTTCTAAGAAGATTTTTTAAAAAATATTTTTGGTAGTTAAAAAATGGGATACATACCTTTAGTTCAGCAATCAATCAGAAAGCAAGTTTTACATTGGTTGAATGTCAAACTAAAAGTGCATACCTAATTTTTTAAACGTTCAGAGTTCTAATGTTTATTAATTCATATGCCTCTATGTCCTTTTTTTTCTACAATTTGTTGAACGGTTGTCTATGAGGACTAAGCTTATTAATAGGATGTATTGCACTGGTGTTTTAGTTTTTGCAACCGAGGAAAAAACTTATTCAGAGCAAACAATCTTTATTTTCACCTTGTATTATATTTGTACACTCTTTCTTTGTGTTTCAAACCTTCTGGTCCCTCCTCAGCAGGTTTACAAAAGCATGACAAATTACAATATCTTTAATTACTTTGTTATGTAAATAAATACACAGAAGAATTCCTATCACAATATTACAAAACAATTTCTTCATTGTTAATTTCCACAATATATAAAGAAATAATACTCCAAAATATCTTTATCATGATACTACAATACAGAGCTATGCTTACAGCAGCAAACAATAAATGAAAATAAAGATTGTTTGTTCCTCTGAATAAGTTTTTTCCTTGGTTGCAAAAAACCAAAACACCAGTGCAATACATCCTATTAATAAGTTTAGTCCTCATAGACAAACATTTAACAAATTATAATGTTTAATTTTCTATTTTTCCATCTATTTTTCCATATAGCATGTGTAAATCACTCACTTAAATTTATATTTATTATATTTTATAGTGAATATAATAGCATTTTATAGTGAATTATATTTATAATCCACTATAAAATGCTATTATTTCTTTGGCATTCAGATACTTTATTTCAATTGAAGTCAGATTTATGATTTCAATAATTCAAAACTACTTAAAAAATTGTGACATAAAATCTAATTAAACAAGTTAATTAATACTATCTCTATACAGTTAAACATATTTCAGATACTGTATAGTTAGGGAAACAAAGTTAAATGTAATGCAAGATATTTAATACTAAGAAAAAATGATAGTTGAAATAATGGTCATAGTAATAGATCATCAAAAATACTGTAGAATATTAGAAAAATTAATAAGCAGTCTAAGAATTAAATATTAAAGACAACTATTAAAATATAATATATCTACCTTTAGGAATAACGTAGTGAGTTTTTTCATTCATTAACATTATACCAAATAAATGATGAAAGTTAGAAGTTCCACAATCACCCGCATCAAATGCACAAGTATATACATTACATGCCTACAAAAATTATAAATAAATACTTGATTTAACAAATAATATATAAATTTAAAGTTACATTTATGTTTAAAAGTTAAAAACACAAATAAGAAATAAACATAGAAAAAATTTCAAGTTTTTTAATAATTTAATAAGTATAATAATTGTAATAATTATGTATTTACTAATAGCAAAGGGATATTCTTCAAATGCAAGTAAATAATGAAAACAATGTCAAAAGAATGAAATAATCTATTCTGAATAGTTAAAGGATAGACAATTACAAAATATTCAGAGATAACTTACAGAGATAATTTTGGATTTCTAGTATATTTCTAACACAGATTGATGATTGAATATTAATCTGATGCAGATTAATCTAGAAGTTTTATAATTTATTAAAACATAAATTTTCCTAAAGCATAATAATTCATCATTACATTTTTCAAACTGAAAACTGAATATCCAGAACTGAACAACTATGTTCTTCATTAAAAATTTATGATTCTATTTCTATATATATATACAGAATATCCCCTTGAATATCTATGCAGGGACAAAAGAGATCTATCTAGCATCACATGCAGAGATGCCACACAGTGACTTGAGTGGTGCAACATGACATTATATTTAGCATGACAAACTACAACTCTTTCAGAACATTATGACATGAGGCACTTTTTGTTGGAATGGAGTGTATAATCATCACAATGTGCACCACTGGACTAAGTATGCTGCATGTTGCATGCAACATATGCAACATCAAGTGTACTTAAAGTGCTAAATGTCTGGTGTGAGATTTGGGGTGAGTAGCTTCTTGATCTTGTATTCATTAACAGCATCCTGAATAGTGATTGCTATCTGAACATCCTAAACATGACAGTGAATGAATGATGACTTACCACTGGTGCAACTACAGCAGTTTTACTGGCAGTTGATAAATGAAGTAAAATGTTTTGTAGCAAAGTGGCTAGAATCAAAGAGCACTGATTTCTATCAGGAGGGCTTAGAAAGATGAAAACACCATACAGAAAAATGCTTTGACTTAATAATATACTAAATTCAAGTTTTATTCACATTTTCCAAGAATTTAAAGGTAAAATTTTACAAGCAGTTGTATTCATTTTAATTATTTTTATATCTGTCTGACTACAAGTACACTTCTTAAAAGTATAATCTGTGACTATTAAGTTAAAATTATTAAATGTGATCAGTATCCAAAATTTAAATTGTAACTTCAATAATATGATAGCTCTAAAGTTTCAAAGAGCATCTAAAACATGCATATTTTAATAGAATGTGTTGTCTTGTTGAAATATTAAAAAATAATAGAATATTTGTTTGTATGATATATAAATTTAAAGGAGTTAAATAGCTATAAAATATATCTCATCTTTATAATCCAGCTCTCAAATTATTATATTATGTATGTGTAAATATATATAATAAATTAAATAATGTTTATATATGTGTGTGAACTACATAACTTACAGTTATATATAAATCACACATAAAATACAGGAAATCCTCATTAGTTTGAAATTCAAGAGATGAAATAATCACAACTTCAAATTATCGAGTTTTGAAGTTTTGAATTACCGAAGATTTACACATTTCTGTACAATATGCCAAATTCCATGTAACTGATGTAATTTATTAAGCAAACAGAATACAACTACATATACAGAACACTATTTTCATTAATTAATAATAGTAATATAAATAAATAGCAGGTAAACAGCATGTCAGATCAGTTGAGTTTAGTTTAGTTTTATTCAATTGTGGCAACATTCCACATGGATGATCTGCTGAAAAAAAATGCCTTCTGGGAAGTCTTTTATGGAAAACTGTCCCCTATTTAGGCATTACAGATGTGAATAAAATCCAGAAAACATTAAGTGGTCAGCCTGTTTGTGAGGTGTGAATCCACAACCAACTACCAGTGTTCAGTGGTTTTATCCACTCAGCCACTGGTAGTTCAGGTGAGAACCTTACAGGCTGCCAGATAGGTTTTATAAAAATAAAGCAGAATTCCTTGAAATGTAGCCAAAATTATTTTTAAAGTGGCCCAAAAAGTAGTTAGTTGTCTAAACATAGTAGCCTAGAGCCCTACAAATATCTCAATTTGATTCTTGCAGCCAATTTTGCAATCCCAAAAACCAGCTGTATTTTATGAGATAAGTGTAAAAAAGAGTAGTCCATGTGTAAGATGAGACCCAAAAACATGTTACTGTAAAAGCAAAGCTATATTGATCAGATTAGAATTGTTCTTGGTCTATTGTTCTCTTAGAGTATGGAGGCACTTCGAACTAATAGAAAGAGTTAACATATGCATATCACAGTTCATAAAAAATTTTACTTTGAATTTCAAAATAGTCATATTTCAAACTAATCAAATTCCTTAATATGTTAATCTCTATATCCCTGACCAGGACAAAAGTACAGTTACAAACTAACAGAATTTCAAACTAACTGAGTTTGAATTAACAAGGATTTCCTATATTTTATTTTCTGAGATAATAAATTTTACAAATTATAAAAATAATAATATTTTTTATACCTGATCACAATATCTGTCTGCCAACCAAGCATTAACACAATTCTGATTACAGAGAGCTGAAATTCACGATTATATAAATTATATGAAATCCTATGAAAGCTATTTTTTCATTTAAAAATTATATTACTACCTTTATCACTATCATCTAAAAATCCAGTGCCATATCTAAATGAATTATCATGTCCAAAATGATGAGGATATGCAATCTGTACTTTATCACCTGTACAATCGCCTCCATCCCACTGACATTCAGAATTATTACAAGGTTTATCACAGTAACCATCACGAATCCAAGCAGGTGGACAACCTTCTGCACAATCAGGAACAGGCCAAGACAAATAAATCTAAATTTAAAAAAGGTTACTTTATTATAAATATAAAATGTAAGAAAATTACTTTGCAAAATACACACAATTTTTAAAAATTAATGCATTTTGGCTTCTTCAAACATATACTTATAAAGATAATATGAAATAAAAAAAATTATAATAATAATACAAATATACAATGATAACAAGTTGTTCATTAGCTAATTAGTATTTATTAGCCAGAATTTAAAAAAACTAAGTTGTTAATATCAGAAAGGGATAGAAGTTTATTACAATTGTCTATATTATTTTTTCCTATGTTTTCTTTATTTTCTATTTACACTTGTATTTTTATATATTATATTTGATGTATCTGGGTTATACTGTTAATCAAAGGGTGGAAATCTTTTGTCATATACATGACATTTCCATTTGGAACAGTTATTGATATAAAGATAAACAAAACACCTTTTTTGCCGAGAAATATAATTTTTAAACAACAAACGTTTTCAGCCTAATTAATAGGCCATCTTCAGGTTGAAAACTAAAACGGAACGTAAATGTTCCATGAATAGNACTACAAACTCTGACCAGAATTAATACATTGAAGATTTATGTTATTTTTGTTTTATTGTTTTATTTTAATTTTTAAATATTCTTCCATTATTTTTTCTCTTGTAAAATTTTTGATTTAAATTTTTATGTTCTATTCATGGAACATTTACGTTCCGTTTTAGTTTTCAACCTGAAGATGGCCTATTAATTAGGCTGAAAACGTTTGTTGTTTAAAAATTATGTTTATTTCTTGGCAAAAAAGGTGTTTTGTTTATCTTTATTTAGTTGCTGAGCACTTTTGATAATGTTATTGATATAGGCTTTATTGATGAAGGAAATGCATTGCAGATCTTAATGACCCCTCTTTGGTCTTTATTCTTTACAAAAGAAAGAAATGATAGATAAATATACATCACAGATAATAATACAGATAATTTTGTTTTTAATTTTTTACTTACATAGCTGATTATTGATTACGAATTGATATTAAAAAACATTGGATAATTGACTGGGTAGAATTTGATTAAAAGGATTGCTGTAAAAGATAAAATAAAGGTAAATAAGTAAAAGAAATAATTTGTTCTAGTGGGTTGCATTTGTTCAGTCGAGCATCAAGCAATGTTTATCCAGAATTTGTGCTCGAATACCAAATTGTTCAAGTTGGGAACAGTTCAAGTACTAAGATACTGCTTATTTCATTTGTCATTTTTAAAAATTATTACTTATCTAGGTTAAAAAAAGTTTAAAAAACTTACCTAAATTGTTTAAATAAAACTTTACTAAATACAAAGATAAATCTATAAAAACAAAACACAGTGACACAGTCTTAAGGGCTAAAGTTTGAAAGCAATGACAATGACACCTGGTTGATAGGAAAGCAAGGACAAGGAAAAAAATTCTATTATCAGTTTTCATTAAACCTAATGAAAAGTACAAAATAATTTATATATTCTAAAATCTGTGGGCAAATTTAAGACAACATGCGTGCTTACCTAAATAAAAAAAAATATCAAATAATGAAGTTCACACTTAAAAATTGTGAAATTTGCACGGATTTCCAAAATCATGTTAGAGCGAAACCAAAAGTCATGTTATATGGAGGCAGCCCTAATTTTAAAACCCTGTTAATGCAAAACCATGTTGTAGAAGTACTGTGTTGTACAAGGGATACCTGTACTCAATATTTTTAATATTTTTAAACAAGTAAAACGGCAAAACCATATTTGGGACAAGACTATGTCTCGGAGACTCACTACTAAGCAGAATCACTTCGATGCTCAAGGCAGGTCTCATTCTCATTCTCCAATCTTCTTTGGTATTGCTGCTTTCGGGAGCAATCATTCAAACTTCGCCGGCCACAATGCATTTTCGATGAAATTAACCTATCCAATTTCAAAATTTCTCTCCATTGCATGTTGGCCCAGGTTGAATTTTTGTCAATGTGTAACGAAAATTTCCTGTTTTTGAAAAAATAATTGTGGCTATTGTATTGTCTGAAATTATTTTTTTATTTTGCACAAACACTATACAGTTTAACCCGATTATAATGTCATTGGATGTAATGACAACCCTAATATAACATCAAATTTTTATCAGTCTCACGATTTTACTATACTAGATAATGTTAAAAAAAACGCACTTGTAACAACATAAAACCATTTTAACGTCATATTTGAAGCACTCCCAAATTTACAAAATTAGATTACAAATTTTATTTAACATAAAAGAAACTGTGTGTTCAGTCCTGAGGTCAGATTTCACTTCTTAGAATGACTGTGGGTGGTACTCTCCCCTACCTGACTTCGGTGGGGTGAAGTGGCTGTTTTGCCTGTTTGTAGAAGAGGGTCGCCATTTTGTATTTTATTTTGACTCAGTTCTCGGTCCCCTGACTACCTACAAGTCTGGATTTTTTTATGATTTGGGCATCTAATACTCTGTGCCAAATATCAACTCTCAACATGTACTCCTTCATACCTCTATGCTGGTAACATAAAACGGCAGTACGATTTTATAAAGAAGACTGTCTTTTCAATAAAACCTTCAAAATGGACCACAGAAGTGGTGGTCAGCTCTCAAAAGAGCTATTAAGCATATCCAAACTCCTCTTAGATTTTCCATTAGCTAAATTTGAAATTGTTTAAGTCCAAAATGATCCAACAAATTTATTCAAAATTTAAAGCTCTGTAGTCTTTATCATGGACATTAAATATTTTAAATTTCATCCAAATCTGTTCATTGGTCTTGGAGATATTAACAGTCAAATTTGGCACTTTAACATTACATGTGTGGCTGAGCTCTACTAAAGAGCTCTACCATACTCTATGATCATATTTATATTTAAAAAATTGCATTTTCTTCAAGAAATCAATATTTAATTTTAACATACCTTTTGTCCTTTAGTATGAGTATAAAAATCTTCAGGCCAAACATCTTTTCCAAACATTACATCATCGTTTAAATATAAAAACTTTTTTGAAAGTCCTGGTATTCGATGAAGATGTGTCTCGATCGCAGGAGAACTAAAAGTTGGGAGATGACTTTTATTTGGAAAAATTTCCTATAATTAATAAAATATTTAAAATACATTCATCTACATATTTTGGATAAAAAGTTGATTGAAATATCTAAAAATATTTCAAATTTGATTCCAACTTATTCATTAGTAAAAATCATAATACATGTGAACTTATTTATTTCCATCTCAATTTTGATGACTAGAAATGTTTAACATTACATTAAGAATTAAGTCAATTAAAAAGATTTTTGTTTAGAAATTCAATAAAGGATTATCAATCCTTTCTAAATGAATTCTAAAAAAGAAATAATATAACCTATTATTTAAAATGCATGATAATAATTACAAAGCAATGTAATTAAAAGTTACTGATAAGAGTATTAATTTAAACTCTTTAAATTAATTAATTGACAAAAAAATCATAATTAAAATAAAAATTACATCAGAAGAAAATGCTTAATTCAGTAAACTTAAATTTTTATTCAGAAATGTTTTTGTTCTTTTATAAGATCATCATCAGCTGTGAAAATTATCAAGTGCATTAGAATGAATACATTCAAGAGAGAGAACATCTCTACATTCAAACTTTTTCAAATTTAAAATTACAAGTTATATATATATATATAACTTTTATTATCTATTATCTTTTTTTGTTAGTAACTAATATAACAACTTGCTTTATATTTATTACACAGGTCAACAGTGGTTTTGGTGCCCAGGTATTTTGAGCTGATTTCATATGAATTTGATGTCCAGAATTCAAATATGGCATTAGTTTTTGCCTAGGAGCTCTAATTTTTAAGATATAGCACTTTAGCAAAATATATGTTTCAATATCTTAAGTTAAATCCATGGATCAAGTGAAAAAACTAAACACGGAATTTTTATTATTATATTATGCAAATATTATTCTATACAAAGATAGAGGAAAAAGTCATCAATAAAACTAAACAGTTACACATTGAGGAAGCTTCTTTTCCGTGACTTTCGTGAATGTATTTTGGAGCAATCCCTTTTTAAACTCTGCCATCATATGCATATCCCATCTTCCTTGGTAGCGGTCCTCCATAGTTTTAATATCCTGGTGAAATCTTTCACCTTGTTCTTCACTGGTGTCTCCTAAATTTTCAGGAAAACGGTCTAAGTGACTGTGTAAATAGTGCACCTTAATACTCATATTACACCCAAGGAATTTGAAACTGTTAAGCATCTCGTTTACCAGTTCAACATAATTTTCAGCTTTGCGTTTGCCTAGAAAATTTCTGACAACTGCAACAAATGAAGTCCAGGCTTTTCGCTCAGCTTCATTCATCGAATTTACAAAGGCAAGATCGTTAATGAGTTGTCTTATTTGTGGGCCATCAAATATTCCTGCTTTAATTTTTTCTATACTTAACTGAGGCATTTTTTCCCCTATATATGCAAAGCATGATCCCTTCTTATCAAGAGTCTTTACAAACTGCTTCATTAGGCCTAGCTTGATGTGCAGTGGAGGAAAGATGATTTTCTCTTGTTCAACTAAGGAGTCGTTAATGACATTTTTTTCTCCAACGTCTATGTTTTCTCTCTTAAGCCACTCTTTTTTAATCCTGTGGTGGGGGGTTTCTAACCCAGGGTTTCTAAGTCTACACAAATTACCCATTGATGTTCACGATACTTTATCTTCTCCAAGACCAGAGCTATGGTGTTATATTCTTCTTTCATTTTCGTTGAGTGAGCAATTGGTATTGAACCGTATTTGTTCCCATTGTGTAGAAGGACACATTTCAAACTTCGTTTTGAGCTGTCAATAAATAGGCGCCAATCATTGAAAAATATTCAAGATATTGAATATTTTTCATTGAAAAATTATCATTGAAATATTATTGAAATATCATTGAAATTATCATTGAAATATATCATTGAAAAATTAGAGGATATTGAAAAATATCCTCTAATTTTGTGACAAAACACAAAATTGTCTTCTTGAGAGAAGAATGGTAGCAGATCCTTTTCTCTTGTACGGTAAAAAGTAATTTTGGTTCCTTGCTCCAGTAAATTTTTCTCCTTCAACCCAGAAGCCAATAATTCAGAAGCTTCTTTTGGCATGTTGAGATCTCTGGTGAGGTCATTTAACTCATCCTGGTTGAAACATTGAGGAATTGATGACATTCTCTCTTAATCACAGTCACCTTCATTAGGATCAGAGGGATACTCGTCCTCACAGAGCTCTGGTAGCTGGTGAAATGATGGAACTGGCACTTCCTGTGAGTGAGGGACCGGGTGTCTTGCAGAGACTAAATCAGGATAAGTCCACTTGCTACAGTTGTTACGATTGATTCCATTAATATTTACTAGACAGAAATAACAGTCATTAAAGTGATTTTTGGGTTCTCTCCAAACCATTGGTACGCCAAATTTCAGACTTTTTCTTTTCCCATTAGTCCACTGTCGTAAATGTTCTGTACAAGTTTTACAGACCTAATACTAAAAAAGTAGAGCTGATAGAGAAAAATTGATTTCATATTTGGATTCAGCGACCCAAATATAGCTAAAATCAGTTCTAAAATCCTAGGCACCAAAAAAAATTTTTTTTTTTGTTGACCTGTGTTATTATTACTTTTATAAAAACATACCTCATGTGTGATAATAGATATTCTAGGATTATCAAGATTTAACCAATGGGGAATCTGTCCATTTGTAACTATATAAACATGATGAATCCATGGTGCATGTTTTTCCAGAGATCTCAGAGAATAACGCAACTCCTAAAAAAAATATTTTACCTTATAATTAACCTATAAATTGCAGTAGTATAATAAAAGTTAATTAAGATACCTCATTATCTGCAAATCTACTAGATGATATGTCTTCATTTCCCTAAAAATCAAAGGTTTTTTCAAATTTTATCATCAAATATTAAATTTGAAAGGAAAACCTTTCTATGTAGGTTACTTGGCAATTGAAATTAAAACTTCCCTTAAAAATAAAGAAACAATATCCAATTAGTACAATCAAAGTAGCCTACAAAGAAAGGTTAGTTATCAAAAGTTAGTATTCCAGAACATTGAAACTGAATAAATGGTGATTCCATTTTCAACAAACTGTCTTCAATTTAATTTTTAAAGTTAATCACGATCTGACAATATTCTACAATTTAAACAAAATAATAAGGATAATTCTATTAAATTCTAATTCTATGTTAAATTAAACAATTGTATGTAGAAATCTTCAATAAAAAACTATCATTTGTTTCATGATGACCTAATCATTCTTAGTGCATTAATGTAGTAATGGCATTTTATATTTTTTGAAGTGTTCCTGAAGATGTATGTGAATCTGGAAGAGCTTAAACTTAAATTTTAATGATATTTAATACTTTATATTTTATTAAAGCAAATATATTGTTATACAATTTTAAATTTGTGGAGTCTTTTAAGTATTTTTTAACAAATATAAATTTATTCCAAATTATTTATCAAAAACTATTGAATTTTTAAAATTTATTTATAGTACAGTCAAACCTGTCTATAACAGAACCCCAAGGGACCAAACAACTCTTCCATAGTAGACAGGTTTCCACTACATACAAGTTACCTATTATAGGTACCCCTTGATTAATGAAATTAATAAATTTCTCAAAATTACTGCATATACCAAAATTGCATTAATCAAATATAGTGGTACCTCTGTACTCGACCAAACAATCACCACCCGCTAAAACAAATTTTCGATTAATAACAAATATTTTTATTTTAACTTTAATTTTTTCATTCATCCGTAAAAAAGTTCTCTAAGATAAAAATGAGTAACCAATTTAAAACTAAAAATAATACCTTGCAGCTGCTGCCTACCTTCATCAGACAAAATTATGAAAAAACAAACTGAATTGACTATAAGTGAAAAAAAAAACCTGCTTGTGGAACACAATCATCAACATGTTTTACAACCATTTCAAGTGGATGAAGTGTTTCAATAATATGTGTATATGACACACTAAGATTTGTTGCAAATTCACAAGTTGTTACTTGTCAATCTTTAACAATTTCTTCCTGCAATTTCTCTTCAACCGCTTCTGGGGACCCATACATTTTGTATCTTTTAGCTCAAAATTTCCCAAATAAAATTTTCAAAACCACATTTGACACATTCAGAGTTTAGAAGCATCTTCCCTGTACACAGTATGAGTATTTTTTACTGTTTGTGTAGCATGATATCCTTTACAAAACTTAGAAAGCATGCATGATATGCCCAACGTGCATTTTATCTGCAGACATTTTGTCTTAATTTTATTCAAACAAAAAAAGTTTAAAATAAGCTTCATAACAAATAGGGTAGTTGCACCAGTTGACTGATTAAGCACCTTGATAAAAATATTTCTATATAATAACTTAACAAACAGACATTTAACATAAGTAGTGGTCATTGCTGGTTATCAAGAACTCGCACTACTCATTCAAAGAGTGAATTTTTAATTTTCTGTAATATTTATTAAATTAATGACAATGTTTTTAAAATTTAAAAATCACCAGTGAATGACCATATGGCTCTAGTAGTTGACCAGTTGAGAGCTAGTGAATGACCACAAGTGAGTAATANAAATAAATAAATAAAAATAAAAACACAATGACAATAAAAGACCCGAACAAAATATGCAGCAGCTTGCTGCAGCATATAACAGATTACTTATCTGCAGGAATATTTTCGCAAATGAAGGTCGCAGTAAATACAATAATTCTGACAAAGTGTTTAACAGAATTTATCCCATGCAGAAAATTTGTAAGACAAAGATTTGAGAATCCCATAAGTCCATATATAATATGCGTACAAGTAAAAAAAAACAAAGTCCACACAGCTAGTAATTGTAAGTATCAATTCCAACACTTTAAACCCAAAAACAGAGAAAGATGGTGAAGCTTATATATTTCTTACAGTCAGCAAACACAAATGTATATAGAGAAGTGATGATCTGCTTGTATTAGTTGTTGTGCTAAGGA